CTTCATGACCTTGTGTAGGCTTCGGAGGGCTTCGAAAGGTTTTTGGGGGTTTAGGGTTTAGGGTTTAGGGTTTAGGGTTTAGGGTTTAGGGTTTAGGGTTTAGGGTTTAGGGGTTTTGCGAATGGTCCCGCAATTTGGGTCCCCGGTTATCTAACCCTTACAAAAACACTGTACATTTTAAGGGGCCCATACGTCGGATCCCTTGAAATCCCTTTCAGCAAGGGTAATGGACCACACCAACGCCCCAGGGTTCCAACCTTTCAGAGGTTTAGGGCTTTGGGCTTTTTGGGTGGTTTAGGGCATTTAGGGTTTAGGGTTTAGGGTTTAGGGTTTAGGGTTTAGGGTTTAGGGTTTAGGGTTTAGGGTTTAGGGTTTAGGGTTTAGGGTTTAGGGGGTTGAGGCTTTGAGCCTTTAGATCCTAAATATCCTGACCCTAGAAAGTGTCTCGTTGATCCAACAACGTGTCAGAAGCGCCAGACTGAGAACCCCGAACACTCAGGGACCACTTCGGGTTTAGGGTTTAGAGTTTAGGGTCTGGCCTTCAAATCCTCAACCCAAACCCCCAAAGCTGCAAAACCCTCAACCCCAAGCCCCCAGCCCCCCAAACGCGAAAACCTAAACCCCCCAAAACCTCCAAGACCGCCCCAAACCCCCCCAAACCCTAAACCCTAAACCCTAAACCCTAAACCCCCCACAAAAAAGCAAAAAAGAAAACACAAACCCCGAGTCGAAAGCCTGGTCTCTCTGCGGATGCCAGGGTCCTGCTGGGTGCTGGGTTGGGGGTTTAGGGTTTAGGGTTTGGGGTTTAGGGGTTTAGGGTTTAGGGGTTTAGGGTGTTGGGGTTTTGGGGTTTTGGGGTTTTGGGTTCTGGGGTTTAGGGGTTTGGGCTTTGGGGTCTAAGGTTTTTAGGGTTCAAAGGTTTGGGTTTAGGGTTTTGGGATTTGGGGTTTAGGATTCAGGGTTGAGGGCTTAAAGGTTTGGGGTTCAGAATTTGGTGTAGAGTTCAGGGTTTCGGGGTTTAGGGTTTGCGGTTCAGCGTTCAGAGATGAGGCTTCAGGGTTTAGGGGATAAAATGAGGGTTCATTAACTTCTGAAAAAAACTCTGCAACTCTGCAGTACAGCAGAGTGCTTGTGATTCCGTGTACGGAACGAGCCCATAGCCTACCTAGGATGAGGCCACCCCCCTTCTGCCCGCCGCGATGTCTTTTGTTGGGCTTTTGGTGCTCTGGAGACTCACACCCCCGACCCTACTTGAGGTTCATGGGTTTAGGGTTTAGGGTTTAGGGCTTAGGGTTTTAGGGTTTCGGCTCTGGATGCCTCGCAGAAGTGCTATAACCAGTTGTAGCTGGAGCTGCGCACGCATATTTGAAGCTGAAAAGCTACCCGAAACCCTAAACCCTAAACCCGAAACCCTAAACCCTAAACCTCCAAGCGACCTCCGCATTGTCAGCTGTCGCGTCGAGGTGTCAATGATGCTCGCATCTCCCCCACACTTGGTGGCTGAGCCATGCCCGGCTGCCCGGGACGAACGAAGGCCAGCGAGGCTCTGCAAGTCTGCTGGGTGCTTGTGCCAGTTGCAGGCATCTCCACACACCTTCTGGAGCCCAAACCCTAAATCCTCAACCCCAAACCCTAAACCCTAAACCCCAAACCCCAAACCCTAAACCCTAAACCCTCTTGCACGATGAGTGTCTCCCAACTTACGCAAGCGAGTTTGTCTGGCAGCTGCCCAAACCCAGAACCCCAAGCCTTTTAGAACAAAGAAGCCCCAAACCCCAAACCCAAACCCTAAACCCTAACCCTAAAACCTAAACCCTAAACCCTAAACCCTAAACCCTAAACCCTAAACCCTAAACCGGAACCCTAAATCCTGAACCCCCCCCGCAACCCTCCCGCGTGAGAAGCTCCTGCGTTGGAAGAGAACGTGCTCTCATTGGAGATGCCGATCGGCTCATCACCTGCCCACACGAGGGGCTCAGTGGGGAGTGGGGGGTCTCAGGGTCTTAAGGGTTAAGGGTTTAGGGTTTAGGGTTTAGGGTTTAACCCTAAACCCTGAACCCTAAGCCGTAAGGTTTCATAGGGCTTTGGGGCCTTTTCGGGCTTTAAGGATCCCAGGGCCTCAGGAGTCGTAGGGGTTCAGGGTTCAGGACTCAGTGCTGATGTTGGGGTGTGAATGAGCTAGGAAACCGGCCACTGATGCATGAGCAGTTTGCCAAGGGTTTAGGGTGTGGGGTTTAGGGTTTAGGGTTTAGGGTTTAGGGTTTAGGGTTTAGGGTTTAGGGTTTAGGGGTTAGGGGTTAGGGTTTAGGGTTTAGGGTTTAGGGTTAGGGTTGTCAGTTATTCTAAGTCATTTCTTATCTTCTGGGCACCTTAATACTCATAAACCAAGCCCAGTGAACGAAGCCAAAAGAATTAAAGCACACAAGCCAGTCCAAAATTAGCAAAAGTAGATGGAAAACCTTTGCCCTTCCTTCTGAGGTCTTTCTATTCATGTTAAGACCTCCTAAGACCCAAACAAATTTTCACAAGCGGCTTGAAACTCATTAAAACGAACCGTGAGTTTGCTTTGGCGATTCTATAGAAGGGTCACAATGATCGACTGGTCCTTTCGTCCCTTGTACTCGGGCGGCCCTGAAAGTCTGAGAAGATTCCTCAATGTGGCCCTCCTAAACCCCAAGCCCTCAACCTTAAACCCCAAACCCGGAACCCCAAACCCCACACCCAGAGGAAGGGCCCTCGTTGATAAATCAACCCGAATGCTCCTCCCCCCCCCCCCCCCAAAAAAAAAAAAAACTTAAACCCCAAACCCCAAACCCCAACCCTAAACCCTAAACCCTTAACCAACCCCCCCCCCCCCCCCCGAACTGCCTTGCCCAAGCGGCACCACGGCCACCTGCAGATCCTGGCGACTCTGGGCTAAGGGGTTTGGGGTTCAGGGTTCAGGGTTTAGGTTTAGGGTTTAGGCTTAGGGTTTAGGGTTAAGGGTTTGGGGTTTAGGGGTTTCGGGTTTCGGGTTCAGGGTTTAAGGTTTAGGGGTTCAGGGTGTTAGTTCTTGGTCTGGGGCCCTAACCCCACACCCTAAACCCAGACCCTACACCTCAAGTCACCGGACCCTAAACCCTAAACCCTAGACACATGGCCCGCTTGACATGGCCCTTGGGTATCTCAAGGGTCTGAAAGGGGTCGCCTTCTAGGGCCCCATACCAAGGGACCATGTAACTACCCTTAACCAATAATGTCGTATCCTGATTAGTCTGGACCCCCTCAATAATGAAAAGTTTTCCAAAAATTATTCAGGAGACCCAATTTGGATTGGCCCCCCACAATAAAGTAAAGTTTTTCGGGCATGGGTTTCGGAACAGAGAAAAAAAGAGAAGAAGATGATGAAAGAAAAGAGCAAAAGAAGAGCAGCTTCAAGTCGGAGTTCTGAGCTGTCATCCCCAACCTCCCGGGTTCAGGGTCTACGACCAGGCCTGAAAACAAGGATTCCTTATGACTTCGCTTATCTGAGGAGGCCTAGCCATCAAATTTTGAAGGGGGTAGTCCACGTGCTGCCCCGAACCCCATTCTAAAAAAAAATGCACCCCCACAATAATGTCAAGGTTTTCGGGGGGAGGGGGGGGGGGGTTACCTGAGCTGAGCTCATCTGAGCTTACCTGAGCTTAACTATGTAAGAGGAGAGGAAGAGGAGAGGGAAGAGGAGCGAAGAGGAAATGAAGAGGAGCCGGTGGGGGGGGGGGCCCGGGGCCGAAAATTAGTTTGGGGGGGTCCCTTTTTTTACAACACTATTACGGGGGTGGATTTAGTTTGGGGGGGGGGGGGGGGGGGGGGGGGGGGGGCCCCCTCACACTAATCAGGATACCACATTACCCTAAACCCTAAACTCCTAAACCCTAAACCCTAAGGTTTAACCCTCAACCCTAAACCCTAAACCCGAAACCCTTGAACCCGTCAACTCCAAGATCTAAATCCCGGAAGCTTCGGACCTCGAGCCTCGCACACTTTGAGAGCTCGAAAAGGTTTTCGGGTTTGGGGTTTTGGGTTCTGGGTTTAGGGTTTAAGGTTTTGGGCTTAGGGTTTTGGGGCCAGGGTTTAGGGTTTAGGGTTTTGGTTTTAGGGTTTAAGGTTTAGGGTTTAGGACATCTTCTTCCAAGGGTTGGGTGAGGGTTCAGGGTTTAGGGTTTGGGGTTTAGGACATCTTCTTCCAAGGGTTGGGTGAGGGTTCAGGGTTCCCCTCGGGCACCCTGTAAAATTAGAACTCTCAAACCCTAGACCCTAAACTTCAAACCCTAAACCCTAAACCCTAAACCCTAAATGCTAGAGCTAAACCCGCAGCCCTGAATGCGGCCCGAAGCGCTGGCAGGTGCGAGCCACGTGCCGTCTCATACCTGGAGGAGGGCTGCAGGGCTTGAGGGCGAAATATTTGGGGTTTAGGGTTTAGGGTTTAGGGCTTAGGGTTTAGGGTTTAGGGTTTAGGGTTTAGGGTTTAGGGTTTAGGGTTTAGGGTTTAGGGTTTAGGGTTTAGGGTTTAGGGTTTAGGGTTTAGGGTTTAGGGTTTAGGGGTTTAGGGTTTAGGGTTTAGGGTTTAGGGTTTAGGGTTTAGGGTTTAGGGTTTAGGGTTTAGGGTTTAGGGTTTAGGGTTTAGGGTTTAGGGTTTAGGGTTTAGGGTATAGGGTTTAGGGTTTAGGGTTTAGGGTTTGGGTTCAAAGTTTGGTGAAGGGGCTCAGAAGTGGGCAGGGCTAAACCGTGAGCTTGGCTTTCGGCTCTCCGACCACACGCGAAGCCGCACCAACGTCGCAGGCGCATCCAAGCCCAGTGCGATTAGAATGTCTCGGGTTTAGGGTCCAAGGTTTAGGGTGGAGGTTCTCGACCCGTACGCATTTGGGGGTTTCCCAAAATTAGGGGTACCTTTTTGGGGTCCTTATGATAAGGGATCCTGATATTTGGGGGTCTATTAAGGGATCGTAGACCTTGAAACAGAGTACGGTACGCAACTTTGCCTATCTGGCCTTTGCAGCCATCTCCTCCCCATACTGTCCTACGCAGTACTTTCGGCACTTTGCAGACGTACACCCTCGCAAAGGCTATACACCGTTCAAGAACCAGTCCCGACACTAAACCAAAAACAAAACCCTAAATCTTAAACTCAACAAACTCAATCAAGCAAGAAGGGCTCAGGGTTCGGGATTTAAGGGGCCAGCAGGACATGTGGCATAAGCAGCAGGAACGCGGCCGTAGGGGGTCAGGGGCATGGGGTTAAGGAAAGTGCGGTAAGTACAGCTGCACCAGCTTATAATAGAGCATTTTGGGTGGAAGGGGGGGCGACGCTCATAAGCCTACTTACGGTTAACTGAACCTCAAACCCTAAACCCCTGAACCCTGCAATCCGTCAAGACATGGCAGGCTGAGAGAGGTGCACAAACCACGGCGAGCCTCGGCGATTTGGGACTTGGGCTGAAGAAGTCCCCAACCCTAAGCCCTGAACCCTGAACCCTGAACCCTGAACCCTGAACCCTGAACCCTGAACCCTTCACCCTGAACCCTAAACCCTAAAACCCCTAAACCCCTACACCGCTAAGCCCCAATTAAACCCCAACTAAACCCTCAATCCCTACACCCCTAAACGGGGTTTACTTGGAAGCTCTTTTGACTTCGTAAGGTCTACTTAGTACCCCCCAAACACTCTTGTCATCCCCTTACTAGCCCTACTTACTAAGTCAAAAGGGCTTCCAACCCAGAGCTTAGGGATTCAAGGGTTTAGGGATTTAGGGATTTAGGGATTTAGGGATTTAGGGATTTAGGGATTTAGGGATTTAGGGATTTAGGGATTTAGGGATTTAGGGATTTAGGGATGTAGGGATGTAGGGATGTAGGGATTTAGGGTTTAGGGCTTGGGGGCTTGCGGGGGATGTAGGGCTTGGGGGTTCGGAGCTTCGGTGTTTTGCTTTCAAGGGTCTCAGGGTTCAGGGGTTTAGGGCTTAGGGCTTAGGGCTTAGGGCTTAGGGCTTAGGGCTTAGGGCTTAGGGCTCAGGGCAAAGGGCTTAGGGCGTAGGATATCGGGTTTAGGGTATTTCGGGCTTAGGGAAATGGTGCCCGTAAACCCTGAAACTTCGAAAGTTCGGCGTGTCGAGTTTGGGCAAAGCCGCTGAGGTCTCCAGGATACTCGCCATCATCCGCACAGTCGGCGAAGGCCGAGCAGGCCTCTCAATGGCTTCAAGGGGGGAAGCACTTTAGGGAAAACCCCTTAACCCTTAACCCTAAACCCTAAACCCTAAACCTTGAGGGTCTGGAGTCTAGGGAGTAGGTGCTTTTGGGGGTAAGGGCGTAACGTCTATAGGGTCAGGGGGTCAGGGTGTAGGGCTGACTGCCACCTCAAAACCTAAAAGCCCTGAGCCTAACACTTTACACCCCGACACCCTTCGAACCCTAAACCCTAAATCCCAAATCCTAAACCCTAAACCCCAAACCCCAAATCCTAAACCCTAAACCCCAAATCCTAAACCCTAAACCCTAAACCCCAAACCCCAACCCTGGAAGGCAAAGACTCTGATCCGCAAGTGTTTTTGGGGCGACTCTCGGATTTAGAGGCCTTTTTGGACCCTAGAGATGAGTCAAGGCTTTAGGGTGTAGGGTTGAGGGTTCAAGCAAAATGTCAGGGGTTTAGGGTGTAGGGTTGCAGGGTTGCAGGGTTTGGGCTGTTAAAGCCCCTCAGCCCTAGAGCCCAAACCCTAAACCCCACCTCGAGCCAAGCCCGGTACCCGAAACCCCTAAGTTCAAGCGATCCAACTCGTACCCAAAGGTTTTAGGGTTTTGGGTTTTGGGTTTTGGGGTTAGGGTTTAGGGTTTAGGGTTTCGGGTTTAGGGCTTAGGGTTTAGGGTTTAGGGTTTAGGGTTTAGGGTTTAGGGTTTAGGGTTTAGGGTTTAGGGTTTAGGGTTTAGGGTTTAGGTTAGGGTTTAGGGTTTAGGGTTTAGGGTTTAGGGTTTAGGGTTTAGGGTTTAGGGTTTAGGGTTTAGGGTTTAGGGTTTAGGGTTTAGGGTTGCCAATGTTCCGCGCACACCACCACGCGGGACGTGTGTTGTGGTGTGCGCCGAGGTTCAACGCTCTCTCCCAACCCACCCACCCACATCTCAACCTTGGCGGGTTTAGGGTTTTTATATGGTTGTTGGGCTATCGCTTTCCGTATGTAGCCTTCACACGTAATATCCTGGGTTCAAAAGCCGTCGACGATTTTTAAATATCCTCGGTTCAGGAGGTGAAGATGACTTTAGACGAAAGGCCCGGTGAAGATGACTTTAGACGAAAGGCCCTAGTCACACGTAAAATCCTCGGTTCAAAGGGCAGGCGACGGTTCAAAAAATCCTCAGTTCAGGTGACTTTAGACGAAAGGCCCCAGTCACACGCAAGGGTGGCCCCAAAAAAGCTCAGATGGTCCGGAATAGGCAAAACGGCCCAAAAAGGCGAAGCCCAAAGAGGGGGTCTCGGAGAGCCTCCAGAGGGCCCTGAATCCTAAATCCTAAATCCTAAACCCTAAATCCTAGATCCTAAACCCTAAATCCTAAACCCTAAATCCTAAATCCTAAATCCTAAATCCTAAATCCTAAATCCTAAATCCTAAATCCTAAAGGATGGAGAGACTTAACTTAAAAACCGAGGGTTTGGGGTTATTCTCTTTAGAGCCAGACTGTCGCTGGCACGCGGGTTCAACCCTTCTAGCGTGGGCCGCGCTCACCGCGCGCACTGGCCCCGAGCCCTCGCCAGGCTTCGCCTGACGGCTCGGGCTCGTCCGCGGGCCTGTCGCCACGCGGTAACGCTCGCTGCTGCTTATCGCAGCACCCGCAGCTCGCTTGAGTTTAGGGTTTAGGGTTTAGGATTTAGGGTTTAGGGTTTAGGGTTTAGGGTTTAGGGTTTAGGGTTTAGGGTTTAGGGTTTAGGGTTTAGGGTTTAGGGTTTAGGGTTTAGGGTTTAGGGTTTAGGGTTTAGGGTTTAGGGTTGCCCCCAGACCCTAACCCTAAACCCCCCCCAAAACCAAAACCCCTCAAAACGGCACGCGCTCAGGGCCCCACGTCCGACTGCTGGAGGCCGTTGCCATCGATCAGCCAGCGGTTCCTCTGGGCTCCCCAGAGGGTTGAGGGTTGAGGGTTTAGGGGTTTGGGGTTTAGGGTTTAGGGTTTAGGGGTTTGGGGTTTAGGGTTTAGGGTTTAGTATTTAGGGTTTGGGGTTTGGGGTTTGGGGTTTAAAGATTTGGGGTCTTGGGGTTTAGGCATTGTGGCTTTGGGCGGTTTAGGGTTTAGGGTTTCAGGTTTGGGGTTTAGGGTTCAGAGTCGGGGTTTAGCTAGGGTTTAGGGCTTTAGGGTTTAGGGTTTAGGGTTTAGGGTTTAGGGTTTAGGGTTTAGGGTTTAGGGTTTAGGGTTTAGGGTTTAGGGTTTAGGGTTTAGGGTTTAGGGTTTAGGGTTCAAGTTTGTGGATCGAAAGGCTTCGAGCTCGGGGTTTAGACAGGGTTTGGGTTTAAAGTTTGGGGCTTTAGGGCTTAGAGCCTGGGGGCTCCGGTGACTCAGGTAAGCTTAGCACTCATGATGCTTGCAAAGTGGCAATGGCTGAGGCTCAAATCCATACATCCTGAGGTTTAAGGGTGCAGGGCACGGCTTGAGCCCGAAACCCTAAACCCTAAACCCTAAACTCACGGTTGCTCAGAAACGTCCAGGCCCGCCTGGCGGGCCAGAAGCGGATCACGGACTGGCTCCCCGGCTTGTGGTAGAAGACCCCTGCAGAGGCTTAGGGTCCTAAACCCTAAACCCTAAACCCTAAACCCTAAACCCTAAACCTCCATTTGCTCCTTTGGGGCTTCGCTCAAACTTCAAGGTTTGGGGCTTTGGCTTCTGGGGCTTTCACCTTCGAGGATCCGGTTTAGGGTTCAGGGTTTAGGGCTTAGAGCTTTAGGGTTTAGAGTTCGGGTTTAGGGAGGGAGGGAGGGAGGGAGGGAGGGAGAATGGCTCGCAGCGTTTTTATTGCTGCAGCCGCCCGCACTCTTCCCCCCCCCCCCACATCTCGGAGATGTGCGGCTCCGCAGGCGTCATCGCCGCCCTCCGCGGAGAGTTCCAGAGGGTTTAGTCATAGTGCAGACCAAGGCACGGGAGACGACTGAACCAATCAGGGCACGAGCAGAGGACACCAAGAACCCACCGAACCAACCCCCGTATCGAGCCGAGCCAAGAAGGGGGGGTTGCGGAACGCACAGACAGGAGGGGGGAGGGGGCGAGGGAAGGAAGGAGGGGGGGGGAAGGGGGAAGGGAGGGGGGGGAAGGGGAAGGAAAGGGAAGATAGAAGAACTCAACGCAGACGCTCTTTTTTAGGATCCTGCCAGCAGTCGAAAGTTCTGGTCGGAGGACACTGCACGGCCTTCGGCCTGAAGGGCACGACAGGCACGGTGGAGGACTGTCCGTCGCCAGCTGCGGTATCAGGGGCCCAGTCCTCCAGTGCACACAAGAGCTGGTCTAGCGAGGCCGAACAGCCAACGCCGGACACGCCGCAGGGGAAGACGGACAAGACCTGCAGAATCAGCGCCAGCCCCAGGCAGGCAGGCTTGCGTAGACGCATACATGTGTTGCGACAAAGCAGACCCTGCTGGAAGGGGAGGCTGTTGCGCCGGGAGCGCCTGGACAGAGTCGCACAGTGAGCAGAGGCAGTCTGGACACAGTTGCAACAGGTCCGCACCATTGGCCAGGTACGTCGGGTGCGCACCATGGTTCCACCGACACTCGCCACGGAAATGGATCTGCGTATGGCAAGAGGGGCACACAATGCCCGTGACCTTACGGCACCATGGGCAAGGCTTGGGCAGGGCAGGGGCAGGGGGCAGAATCAAACCTCTACACTCCCAACACAGATCCACTAGAAGGACTTGTGGCACACGTGGGCAGGAGCAACGGTGGGCCAGAGCTAAGCAAAATGCGGTATAAACTGAAATCAAACATTTCGACAAGCAAAAGTTCAATTAGCCAGCAATTCAACCAGTCAGCTATCAATTAACCAACCCCAAACACTCAAACTTCTTTTCCGATCTCAGATCTCGAACTCCAGTGCCTGTACATTTCAAATTGAAGTAAAGAAACCCATCAAACAACTGTTCTAAGTGCTCAAATCAATCCTCCCATCTCGAGGATCTTGGCTACCTTGCTACTTGCCACATCATGACCTTCAGCAGTTGCATTCAACTCCCTAGTCAAGACTTTGGCATGCACCATCGGAGTAGTTTTCTCATCATACCCAGAAGCCACCTTGAGTTCATTGATGCGCTCGCAGTACGCAGCATAGAAGGCTCTGTCACCTTTGATCATCGGCACCACAAAACATTTCCTTCTCGGGCTGTATGTCCCAATGAGCCGATACACTGAGTACATCTGTGCCAGGTCGAAGCAGTCCATGTCCTGATATGGACGTGCTCTCAGCCTCCCTGGCTGCAGCGACGGCATTCCCCACTCTTGTTTCGGGTTTAGGGTTTAGGGTTTTGGGTTTTGTGTTTGGGGTTTTGGGTTTAGGGTTTAGGGTTTAGACCTTTGGGTTTAGGGGTACCAAACCCGAAACCCTGCATGACGATTCATCTAACCTTGGTAGCGCAGCAACCAGACTGTAATAAGGGTACCCTTTTCGGAGTCGGTTGCTTTAAAAAGGGAACCTAGAGACACAACAGGTGGCAAAGGGACCCCCCTCAGCTACCAAGTAACTTAGAAACTAAGGTTTAGGGTTTAGGATTTAGGGTTTATGGCTTGGAGATTCAGGGTTTGGGGCTTATGAGACTTACTAACAGGCTGCAACTGAGGCTAGCATCCTCTTGATAAAGGGCCACTTATAAATCCCCTGACGAAATGCGGAAGGAATAAAAATATCACGAGAGCAGCAACTGCGAAAGAGTAGTTTGTTTGGGTTTGGGGTTTAGAGTTTGTTTTGGGTTTAGGGAGGGGGTCTAATCAGAATCGAGACCTCCTTATGCCAAAAACATCCTAAAATCCTAAAAGCCTAAACCCTAAACCTAAACCTCTAAAACATAAACTCCAAGACCCTATTGTCCAAAGCCCTGAACCCGAACCCTGGCGCCAAAAAAACCTAAACCCTAATGAACCTTCAAGCAGTATTCCTAAACCCTGAAGCCTGCACCCTAACCCCTCACAACCCCTACGTAATCCTAAACCCTAAACCCTCACAACCCTAAACCTTCACAACCCCTACGTAATCCTAAACCCTAAACCCTCAGAACCCTAAACCCTCACAACCCCTAGCCCTAAACCCTAAAACACCCACTAAACCTCCACGCAGCATCAGCTCTCAGCCCGGCACTTCCCAGGTGAATCCCTGCCAGCTGGTAGTCACCGTTGATGAACCTTACTTGGGGGTTGAGGGTTTGGGATTTTGGGGTCTTAGAGCTTCTGGGTTGGGGGTGTAGGGGCTTAGGGTTTAGGGTTTTGGGTTTTGGGGTCTTGGGGTTTTGGGGTTTTGGAGTTTTGGATCCTTGGGGTTTAGGGTTTAGTGATTTAGGGTTTCGGGTTTGGGGTTTTGGGGTTTAGGGTTTAGGTGCTTTAGGGGTTGGGGTTGTAGGAAATCCTCTCAACAACCCTGAACCCGAAGCCACGAAACTGCCTAGAGCCTTATCTCGAAACCCTCACCGAAGTCGAGGACGGCGACCCTCTCGGAGTCCGACGACTCCACGAGCGGAGGGTCGTTGGCCGCCAGCCTGCCCAGCCACCACGTCAGGCCCTCCTTCTGGCCGTCGTCCGCCGGCTCGCTGTCTCCACCGCCAAGGAGGACGGTGGCGGAACCCAACAGAGGCGCTCCACCTCCGCCAGTACTCTTCCTCCTCCTTCTGGCTCTCGGACGTCACCGTCCCACCAAATCCAGCAGCAACACCCAGACAGCCGCCATGGCGGCGAGCTGAGCCCAAATAGTCCCTAAAACCTGAAGCCAACAGAAACCCACAAGAACTTAAACCTTAAGCCCGACAGACCCCAAACCCTGAACCCTGAAACCCAAAACCCTAAACCCGAAACCCCAAGCCCTCAACCCTAAACCCCTAAACCCCTGAACCCCCAAACCCCTGAACTCCTAAACCCCTAAACCCCTCAATCCCTGCAACCAAGAAGCAACGCTCAAGATCCCACAACCCATGGGTTCCCCTACTACCCCCCGTTTAGGATTTAGGATTTAGGGTTTAGGGTTTAGGGTTTAGGGTTATGGTTTAGGGTTTGGGGTTTAAGGTTTAGGGTTTAGAGTTTAGGGTTTAGGGTTTAGTGTTTAGGGTTTAGGGCTACCCCCGCCCCCACAGGTTCCCCCATAATTAAGGCTATTTCGGGATAATTAAGCCTAATTCAGGTTCTTTGAGGGGGGAATTGGGGGGGGGGGGGGGGGGGGGGGCGTAGCCCTAGGCCCTAAACCCTGAACCCTAAACCCTAAACCCTAAACCCTAAACCCTAAACGTAGTATAGAAGGGGGTAGTAGGGAACCCATGAGCCCTCTCTCGATCCCTAAGCCGCAAACTCTGCTCCACCTATCGACTCCCCCCCCAAACTCTGAGAACTTGAGCTTCGGGTTTCGGGATCGGGGTGTAGGGTTTAGGGTTTAGGGTTTAGGGTTTAGGGCTTAGGGCTTAGGGTTTAGTGTTCAGGGTGTAGGGTTTGGGGTTTGGGGTTAGGGGTGTACCTGACACCCCCCCAAAACTCATGTCAAACACTTCGGTTCGTGCTCATTTTCACGCCGGGCGCGGCCACAGACCTGCAGGGTGGAGCTTGGTTTGGAGCTTGGTTCAGGCTTTCGGGTGTAGGGTTTTGGGTTAAGGGATGATGGGGTCCTGGGGTTATGGGGTTATGGGGTTTTCGGGGCTTGGGTTTCGGGCTTAGGGGGTGTTCACATTCAGGGCGGGGGGGGTGGTTGGGGGTGCAGGGTTTAGGGTCCCAGCTCTGTGGGTTTAGGGTTTAGGGTTTCGAGTTTGGAGTGCGTGGGCGGATAGGGTCTAGGGTCTAGGGTCTAGGGTTTCGGGTTTAGGGTTTAGGGTTTAGGGTTTAGGGTTTAAGGTTTAGGGTTTAGGGTTTAGGGTTTAGGGAGTTCAAGGCTTAGGTCGGGGGTTTAGGGTTTCATGGCGCGCTGGCACTGCAGCTGTTGCGGGTGATGGGGCGATGCTCGAACCAGAAATTTCTCGCACAAAAAATGAAAAACAGAAAGCTAAAGAGGAACACGCCAGATGTACAAACCTAGAAACATGCACACAAAAGAGCAGGGATGAGAAACAAGACCACCCAAAAGCACGATAAGCCCGAACAACAACCTTGAAAACCTATTTAAACAATCTGCAGCATGAAAATCAACCTCCCAAGCCTCGAACCCCAGAACCCTGAACCCTCAACCCTAAACCCTAAAACCCTAAAACCCTAAACCCTAAACCCTAAACCCTAAACCCTAAACCCTAAACCCTAAACCCTAAACCCACACACTCGCACCATGAGGAAAGAATGCCGCCCGCCGGTGCGCCTGGAGTGCCACCGGGGCCGTTGTGCACCGCACCTGCCAAGAGACTCTTGAGGGTTTAGGGTTTAGGGTTTAGGGTTTAGGGGTTTAGGGTTTAGGGTTTAGGGTTTCGGGTTTCGGGTTTAGGGTTTAGGGTTTGGGGTTTAGGGTTTGGGGTTTGGGGTTTGGGGTTTGGGGTTTAGGGTTTAGGGTTTCACCTCCCAAGAGCGTGTTGAGGGTTTGAGTCGGCTTGAGGGTTGTGGGCCTTTAGGGGTCTTAGGGTCTTGGGGTCTTAGAGGTTTAGGGTCCCTAAACCCTAAACCCTAAACCCTCAACCCTGAACCCTAAACCCTAAACCCTAAACCCTAAACCCTAAACCCTAAACCCTTGCCAGGCGCTTAAATGGCCTCCGGATCCGAGATGAAGCAGCCGCGCTTGCTCTCCCAGATGGACCATTCCAACTTCGTCGTCCCTGGATGCTCCTGAGAATTTGGCTTCAGGGTTTGGGGTTTGGGGTCTAGGGTTTAGGGTTTAGGGTTTAGGGTTTAGGGCTTAGGGTTTAGGGTTTAAAGTTCAGGGTTTAGGGCTTAGGGTTTGGGGGTTCAGATTTCGAGGTGCGCTCGTGGCCTTGGCATGTCATCCTAAGCCCATGCCAGGGATGTCGGAACATCTCTATAGCACCCGAGATACTCACACATGCAAGACATTTCCGAACGAAATCTAAGCCCAAACCTTAAACCTTCCAGGCCAGGAGAATTGTCGGAACATGCTAGAGCCATTGGGGGTGTCTCGAGCCGTGGGCAAACTCGGGCTCAAAGGGATGGGGCCCCCGGCAGATGCTGAAGCATTGGCGTACGCTGCACAGCGATCGCCCCCCTGACAGCAATCGCGAGCGGAACGCCCCTGAACCCTGACCCTAAGCCCCTAAAGCCCCAAACCCTGAACCCCTAAGCCCGGACCCGTAAGCCCTCGAAAGACACCACAAATATGGAGGAAAAGGAGGCCAATCACCCATCCCGGGAGCGGAAGGGAGGAAACACGCCTTTGAGCCTTTGCAGGTTTCTGGGTTTATGGTTTAAGGGTTAAGGGTTTAGGGTTTAGGGTTTAGGATTTGGGCTTTGGGGTTTGGGGTTTGGGGTTTGGGGTTTGGGGTTTGGGGTTTGGCCTCAGAGCCTAGGCACCCTGAACCTAAAAGCCATCAGCCCGGGTTTCAGGATAGGGTCTTAGGGTCTAGTCTCTAGGGTGCTGGTATGAAGCCTTAGAACTGACCTCAGAATGGCCAAAGCCGCCTGGCCTGCCCGAAACTGAAATTCGATTCTTGCTGGGGTTTAGGGTTTGGGGTCACCCCTAAACCCGGAGCCTCGAAACCTTGACGCCGACTTCGTCGCAAGGCGCACCCCGAAACCGAGGCCCAGGCGTTGAGATCTCCACCAAAGACCCAGTGGTACAATTTCGTGGCGAGGCTTGGCCTGGGGTTCAAGGGTTTGTGGTTTGTGGTTTGGGGTTTAGGGTTTACGGTTTAGGGTTTAGGGTTTGGGGCTTAGGGTTTGGGGTTTGGAGTTTAGGGTTTGGAGTTTGGGGTTTGGGGCTTGGGGTTTAGGGTTTGGCGTTTAGGGTTTGCCCTAAACCCTAAACCCTGGCTTCTTGCACTTTGTGGGAGCCATAGAGTACGAACCCGTGAACGTGTGAAAACATCCCTGGAATGAACACGTTTGTCCTGAAATTTTGAAATCAACAAAGGCTTAGGGGTTAGGGTAAGTTTAGGGTTTCGGGTTTAGGGTTTAGGGTTAAGGGTTTAGGGTTTAGGGTTTTAGGGTTTTAGGGTTTAGGGTTCAGGGTTCAGGGAGGGTTTAGGGTTTAGGGGCTGAATCGTACTCGCTCTGTTTAAGAGCCAAATATGGACCTAGGGTCTGTATTCTGTATAAACGGGTCGGGGTAGGGGGACATGACCCTGAACCCCAACCTCAAACCCCAAACCCGAAACCCAAAACCCGAAACCCTAAACCATAGCCCTAAACCCAAACTCAAACCGCTAAAGCAAGCCACTGCCCCTGTAGTTCCTGTGCCACCGCACTCAACTAGGCCATCTGTCTCCACGAGCCAGCGATCCGATCCTGGAGTGGGGTTTTAGGGTTTTAGGGTTTTGGGGGTTTGAGGTTTGGGGTTTTAGGGCTTTAGGGTTTAGGGCTTTAGGGTTTAGGTTGTAGGGTTGTCGGGTTTTAGGGTTTAGGGTTTGGGGTTTAGGGTTGAGGGTTTAGGGTTGAGGGTTTAGGGTTGAGGGTTGAGGGTTTTAGGGTTTAGGGAAACCTCTGAACCCCTAAACCCTAAACCAACCTCAAGGAGGCATGCCTTGTCAGACCAGAACCCTAAACCCTGAGCCCGCCGCGACAGGCAGCTGCCAAAATGGCTATGCTGCCAAAGAGCATACTTGTCATCATCTTTACAAGAGGAACCCCAAGAAGGGTCCCTCCTCATGTCCCTAAACCCTAAACCCTAAAGTCTGCGTCCACTGAGCACGAGCTTGGGCTTTTGCTTGCAGTGCCGCCACTTTTGGAGCTAAGGTCAATCCCATCAGCGAGTCGCAACAGCAGGAGCCCGAACCTCGAAAAGCACCAAAACTTAAACTCTAAACCCTAAACCCTAAACCCTAAACTAAAACCCCAAAACAACTAAACGTCCTAAGAAGCCTCGGCACACAAAAGCTCTCCAGCCCTTCAACCCGTAGGGTTGGGGGTTTGGGGCTTAGGGTTTGGGGTTCGGCGTTTAGGGTTAAGGGTTCAGGTCTTAGGCTTTTGGGGGTTAGGACCGAGAAAAACAAAAAAAAACTTCACGAGCTCCTCGAAAACCCCTTATCTCAGGCATACACTTACACCACAGGAACCTTTACATCGTTTGAGGAATCCAAGAACCCTAAACCCTGAACCGTATTACTTCATTCAGTTGCTGTTTGGGCTTTCGGGGCTGCCGGAGCTCAAGCACCTCCTGTTGGGAGTTTAGGGTTTAGGGTTTAGTCTTTAGGCTTTAGGGTTTAGGGTTTAAGGTTTAGGGTTTAGGGCGTAGGGTTTAGGGTTTAGGGACATGAGGAGGGACACTTCTTGGGGTGCGGGAAGGGGGGGGGGGGGGGGGGGGGGGGGGATTGTAAACTGTTTTCAGAAAATGCTGATACAGAGCTCTGTCAGATACTCTAAGCCCTAATACCCCAAACCCGAAACCTCAAGAATATGGGGTTGGCAACTGCCCAACTGCCCCCAAGCAGCGTGAGGAGTAGCGGATGAGGTGCCGGGTGCCTCCCGCAGTTTACGAGACAGGACCCTTGAGACAGGACCCCTTTAGGCCGCCGGAAACATGTTCCGAAACAAGACCCTCGTACCCTAAACCGGGATTAGGAGAACCCTGGATGAACACCGAAGCCTAAGAGAAGCACCCTGAAACTCTAAGCTGGCCGAAGCCCTGAAACAAAGGCTTTACAGTGTCAGGTTTAGGGCTTTGGGTTTAGAGTTTCGGGGTTAGGGTTTAGGGACCCTCAGCAACCGCCTGGCTGGACATAGGCGGGCCGGCCCTCGATGACTCCAGCGAGGGAGTACGACCTCTCGACGCTAAGGGTTTAGGGTTGGGTTTTGGATTAGGTTAAAGGCTCTAGAGGGTTTAGGGTTTGGAGTTGTCATAGGTGGGATAGCTGGCAATATTGCCTGCTGGTAGCCCTCATTTGGCGCACTTGCAACCCTACCTCACAAACTACCCATGAACCTTCAAGTAACCCCCATAAAACCCTCAAGGCACGAGTTCCGGAGGATCAAAACACAAGATGAGGTAACCATCGGTTGAGGGTTTAGGGTTTAGGGTTTAGGGTGTAGGGTTCAGGGTTTAGGGTTTAGGGTTTAGGGTTTAGGGTTTTTAATGAGGGCTAATTAACATTGCGTCTTGTAGTACAGAGGAGCTTGTGATACACAGGGCTGAAGCCTCTAAATTTTGAGGGAAAGGTCTGAGATTCGACACCTGCTTGGAGTATCAGCGCGCTTCGGGGTCAGAGCTTTCTCAACTTCAAAGGACACAACCCTCTGCGACCCCTCAGTGGTCATAAATCCGCGCAAACCCAAACCTCTGACAGCCCTGAAGCCCCAAACCCCCAAACCCTGAAACCCTGAAACCCTAAACCCCAAGCCCCTGGACCCCTGAACCCCTGAAACCCTGAACCCCTGAACCCCTGAAACCCTGAAACCCTGATATCCTGAAACCCTAAACCCTAAACTACCCTGAGCAGCAGGCCCGTTGATACGCGCATTCTCAGCCTGCACGCTTGGGTGTCTCAGGCCGGAAGCTCCACTTTGCGGCGTTGAGGGTTTAGGCTTTAGGAGTGTTTAGGGTTTATGGGTCAAGCACTAACCCTAAAGAAACCTAAACCCTGCACAGCCCCCAAGCCTCAATCCCCAACCCTGGAGTGAAAACCCTTGGAGTTTCAATCCAGGGTTTTTTGAGCTTTAGGGTTTAGGGTTTAGGGTTTAGGGTTAGGGTTTAGGGTTTAGGGTTTAGGGTTTAGGGTTTAGGGTTTAGGCTTTAGGGTTTAGGGTTTAGGCTTTAGGGTTTAGGGTTTAGGGTTTAGGGTTTAGGGTTCGAGTTTTCGGGTGGGGAATTCAGGCTTTGGGAGGGTGAGGGTTTAGGGTGTTAAGGCCTTGGTGCTTTAGGGTTTTCGGGCTTCTTAAGGACCCAAACCCTAAACCCTAAACCCTAAACCCTAAACCCTAAACCAAAAACCCTAAAACCTAAACCCTAAACCCTAAACCCTGAACCCTAAACCCTAAACCCTAAACCCTAAACCCTAAACCCTAAACCCTAAACCCTAAACCATCACCTGATATTTTCGAGGTGCCTCTGGGCGCCGGCCGAGGATCCGCACCACACTCGGGGCCACCAAAGTCCTGGGGCCCGCCAAAGTCCGAAATTTTAGGGTTTGGGGTTTAGGGTTTAGGGTTTAGGTTTTCGGGAGAGATGGTTCGCCTCAAACACAAGGCCCAGCAGGTGGGGGGGGGGGGCCAGGGCCAGGGCCGGGGCCGGGGCCGGGGCCCGAACTTAGGGGTTAGGGTTCAAGGGTTTGCAGGGTTTAAGGGTTTAAGGGCTCAAGGCTTTTGGGGTTCAAGGGTTCGAGGGCTTAAGGAAAGGTTCGAGGCATTCAGGGTTTTTGGGCTCTTGGGACTTCGGGTTTGTAGAGAGACTACCGAGGGAGCGCTTTGAGCTTGGGAGGTCAGTATTTAAACTCAGGCACCCTAAACCCAAAACCCGGATGCCCGGCCCGTACAGACATGGTAGCTTGGGAATCCTTGGGGATTCAGGGGTCGAGGGGGTGGTGTGGGGGAGGGGGGGAGAGGGGGGGGAGAGGAGGGGGGAGAGGGTAGAGGAATTGGAGGGGGGGGAGGAGTGGGGGAGGAAGGGGGGGAGAGGGGGGGAGAGGGGGGGAGGGGGGGGGGGGGCAAAGGGAACTGCAAGATTCAACAAAAAACATGCTTACACGTGTCCCCAAAGCAACGCTACGACCACATATGGCAACAGCTATCCTACTTGCAACCCCAGCTGTAGCTACGAGGTTTCGGGGTCAAGGTCCGCAAGCAAGCCCACACCAAGTGCAGGGTTTCGGGTTTAGGGTTTAGGGTCTAGGGCTCAGGGTTTCGGGTTTAGGGTTTAGGGTTTCGAGCTTAGTAAACCCTATTCTTCTCCTGGTAGCGGGGTCGGCGCAGAATGTCTGCAGCTGCGTCTCCCAGAACCTGAGAGCGTAGGCTCGCTTGAGAGATCGAATTGTTTTACAAAGAGTTTAGGGTTTAGAGTTTAGGGTTTAGGGTTCAGGGCTTTGGTTTTTAGGGTTTAGGGTTTAGGGCTTATGTTTTGGGGTTCAGGGATGTGGGTTTTAGGGGTTCAGGGTGCCGGGGTTTTTGATTTAGTCTTCAGGCTGGGGAAAACCAAAGGAATAAGGAACAAAAGGAATGTGGAGGTGTACGAAAATGAGGGACCACTAATATCCCCCAAACAGTAGGATTCCCTTATAATGAACCCCTAAACCCGAAACCCTAAACCCTAAACCCTAAACCCAAACCCTAAACCCTAAACCCTAAACCCTTAACCCTAAACCCTAAACCCTAAACCCTAAACCCTAAAGCGCCAAGCCCCGCGCATCCACTCCAGCTCAATGTGGCCAGGGTGCTCCAAGTTCGAGGACTGAGCTCAGGGTTAGTCAGCTCATCCCCGGCTTGGTTCGGAGTTTGGGGCTTAGCCCGAAGCCCTAAACCCTAAACCCCAAACCCTAAACCCTAAACCCGACGTGGGGTTCGGGAGGGCACGTAGGCTTCCGAGGATGAGGTTGGGGTGTGGGGGGGTTGCGCGTTAGGGCTTCGGTTCGCTTCAGAGATCGTTAAGGCTTGAGGACTGCAAAAGGCATTCACAGCCATTCCATCCCCGGCGCGCCTCTGAATAGGCGAGGCAGGTGCCGTTGTCCTGCATTTCGGGTTTAGGGTTTTGGCCCTAAACCCTAAACCCTAAACCCCTGAAAGCCACAAACTCCAAGTCCCGAAAGGCAACCCCAACAAGGACATGAAAGAGCTCCAGCTTCAAGTCCCAGGCTAGGTTTAGTGTTTAGGGTTTAGAGGTTTAGGGTTTAGGGTCTAAGGTTTAGGGTTTAGGGCTCAGGGTTCAGGGTTCAGGGTTTAGGGTTTAGGGTATAGGGTTTAAGGTTTAGGGTTTAGGGTTTAGGGTTTGCTGTAATGGGGCGTAGATGCTGTGAAGGTTCGGTTCTGAACAAGCTCGAAAGCTTCGTGACTTGCGAAGAGCAGCTCTGGCCCGATCGTGGAAGGCCATCTAACACCTTTCTCCCACCCCAAGCCGTCCAAGGCGGCTAAGCCACCCAAACTTACTCCTTTTAGGGTTTAGGCCTAAACTCAAGTCAACTGACTTACAACTGCTTCCGGTAATTCGTTGAGGGTTTCCGCGGAAAAGTTGTTTCAGGATGCAAGGCTGGGCACTCGCCTCGCAGCGGTGACAAGGCCCTTGCCACGGGGAGTGCCCAAGCGTGCAGTCAAGACTTGCGTGCAGCAAAATGGGCAGCGCGCTGCCTGGCGGCCCGGATGGACCATAGCAGCTTGGCCACTGGCGGACGTCGAGAAGACGCAAGGCCCCTCGCCAGCCAAACCACTGCAACGACACACATGCTTAGTCCTTCTCCGTTCCCCTCACATGAACGGCATACTTGCACTACTCGTACTACAAGAAGCAGCGCAGGCTCCACGTGCACTTTTGGATGGAAGACGACGAGCTCTGTCATGCGGCGTCGGTGCGCTTCACAGGCAGCCGAGCGCAAACAAGACGGCCTGCTCCTGCTTCTCCGGGTCGCGGGCGAGCACGCCCAGCCGAAGAAGATGACCTCGCAAATTACACGCGCAGGATGCGGACCTGCGCAGAGGCTGCGTGCAACGCCTATAATTATTTTGAGAGCTCACGCGGAGATTCCTTGCCTCAGCCCACAACTGTGTCACCTCAAGCATCGTCCAATCGCGACCGACGGAGTGGGAAATGAGCGACAAGGTCGTGAGGACTTGGCGGCTCCGTCGCCGGTCGCGGGGGCACGCAGAAGTCGGCCTGGAACGACACAGGTCGAAGTCGCATGGAGGTCAGCAAGACACACGATGAGCCTGGGCTGCAGGTCTAGGAGCTATATGGCCACCACGGCATCCCCGCAGGCGCCATTTCCCAACACAGGGAGGCCTCGCAGGACCGAAAGCAACTCGACCTGGCGCCGAAGCCACAGGATGTAGTAGTCGAAGTCGACGCAGGCGGGAGCCAGACGATCACGCAGAGACACTTCGGCATCGGCCGCCTGGAGTCCTCGGCACGCGAGTGTACGGACTCTGAAAGCAACAGGCAACTTGCAGTTCAAGGAGATCCATGTTCTCGCCGAATGGATCTCGAAGAAGGACAAGTGAGCACAGCTGCGAGGCGTCTGTGTGCTGCAACAGGCAAAATCAAGTGCAGACGTGCACATAAGATCGTGATCACTGAGATCGGTGCTACAAACGATTGATTCAACAACACACTTTTGTCTTTCGCTGTCACGAACATTCGGGCGTCGAGCGGCGTCTCACACCGCGCCGAAAGAAAGCAGTGTTGTGGCCATGGAAGACAAGTCAGGACGCGCGAGAGACGGTCAGCTCGCTTTGCGGACCAACACGACCTCTGAAGCCTGGGTCATGAGCGTTTGACCCGCGTCGATCGGCTGGCACTTGGAATCCTTCAACACGTACACGTCCCAATTGGTGTAGTCCGCCACGAGCGCCATCGAGGTCGAGGGGCTTAGGCGCCGCCCCCCCACTGTAGGGGGGCGGCCTAAGCCTTGAGTTTAGGGTTTAGGGTTTAGGGTTTAGGGTTTAGGGTTTAGGGTTTAGGGTTTAGGGTTTAGGGTTTAGGGTTTAGGGTTTAGGGTTTAGGGTTTAGGGTTTAGGGTTTAGGGTTTAGGGTTAGCGTTGTGTCACATGCTCCCTCCCCGCACACCACCACGCAGGGCGTGTGTTGTGGTGTGCGCCAAGGTTCACGTCCTCTCCCAACCCGCCCACCGAATTTATGACCTTGGTCGGGTTTGGGGTTTGTAATTTGTTGTCGGCTTCGAATCTTGTTCCGTGCTATTCCTTGGATCGAGATTTATGCTTTGGGATTTGCGAGACTTCATAGCTGAGAACTGGTCTGGGAAAGGCCAAAAAAAAGCTCAAAAATGGTCGGGGTTGAGAAATGGTCTGGGAAAGGCCCAAAAAGGTTTGAAACGGTCCGAGGTTTATGCTTTGGGATGGTCTGGGAAAAGCCCAAAAAGGCTCAGAAATAGTTTGGGAGAAGCCCAGAAAAATTGCCTGGAGAAATGGTCTGGGAGAAGCGCGAGAAGGCTCATAAATGGCCTGGGAGAGCTCCGAAATGGCTTGGGAGAAGCCCCGAAGAGCTCAGAAATGGTCTGGAGGCGCAGAGAGGGGAACCAAAAAGGCTCCGAAATGGCCTGAGAACTCAAAAGAGGCTCAGAAATGGTTTGGGACAAGCCCAGAAAGGCTGAAACGGGTTGGTTCTGGGAGAAGCACAGTTCGTTTCACAATGGACAAGAAGTGGTACCTACCCGAAACCCGGAACCCCAAAGCCCTGCAGCCCTAAACTGCAAGGAGGGCCTTGCACCCTCAACTACAAGGAGGGCCTTAACCCCTAACCCCTAAACCCTAAACCCCAAACCCTAAACCCTAAACCCCAAACCCTAAACCCCAAACCCTAAACCCTAAACCCTAAACCCTCAAGACAAAATAAAAAGAAATTGTCATTGTACGTGGTATCATTTTGAATTTCCAAGCTATTTGTCTAAGCAGCTGAGAAGCCGAGTTTAAGTCTAAGCCCTCGTGACAAGAATTTCCAAGCTATTTGTCTAAACAGCTGACAAGCCGACTTTAAGGCCAAATACTCGACTTAATCCTCTCGTCCCTCCCCCTCCCCTCCCCACCAATCCCCCCCTCTTATCCCCCTCCCCCGCCCCCCTCGGCCCCCGCCCCCCAAAACGAAAGACATAGTTCCAAACAAACAAAACGTTTCGGTCAAAACTGTCGGTCAAAACTTTTTGGGACCAAAACCCTATACAATTTCTATAAGCCCTAAACCCTAAACCCTAAACCCTAAACCCTGAACCTTAAGCCCCTCGAAAGGGAGAACCCCAAGAATCCTGCGCCAGCCACACAATCGCCCATCGCCGCTCCTTGCTCGTCCGCTGCGCGGCTTCGGGACTTCGAGGTTTGGGGTTTAGGGTTTTAGGGTTTAGGGTTTAGGGTTTAGGGCTACTTCGAGGTTTGGGGGTCGTTTGGCGTCTTTTTTGGGGCTTGGCGCTTTCGGGGGGGTTTGGGGTTTAGGGTTTGGGGTTGAGGGTTTTTAGGGTTTAGGGTCCAAAGTGAAGCTGTACGCATCTCTCCCGACACCCAACCTTCGAGCTTTCAAGGCCTTCTAGTAAGCAGAAGCCCTGCACCTTAGCAAACCCAAGCCCTAGGGTCCTGAGGAAACGGGGATTTAGGGTTTAGGGCTTGGGGTTTGCGGATTGGGGTTTGGGGCATAGGGCCCCCTAAACCCCGAAACCGAAACCCTAAACCCCAAACCCTAAACCCAAAAGCCACCCGCGCACCTCTTGGAAGTAGCGAATGCCCAGCTCCCCCTTGGCGTGGACGTAAACAGGCCTGCCCATGCTGGGAGGTTCAGGGTTTAGGGTTTAGGGTTCAGGGTTTAGGGTTTAGGGTTTAGGGGAGAGGGTTTAGGGTTTAGGGTTTAGGGTTTAGGGTTTAGGGTTTAGGGTTTAGGGTTTAGGGTTTGAAGTTTTGGGGTTTAGAGTTTTAGTATCCAGGATACTCGGGGCTTGTGGATTTAGGATCTACTTGGAGGTTCAGGGTACTTGCAACGCCCAATTTTTGACTGAACCCCCCCTACCCCCTAACATTAAATACTCCCATGATGGTTAGCTTAGAGTATATAAGGGTGTATTTAATATCAGGAGGTAGGGGCGGGCAGGGGTGGGGGGGGCTTTATACTTGGGGGGGAGGGGATTTGACCCTCAAGCCCCTTTGGGTCAGCTCCCGCCGCGTAATTACAACCCTGGCGGCCCCTGAGCCATGCGCTCCGCCTGCCATGCGCCACGCGTGCGAGCTCGTAGGGGCCGTTGACATACTCGGCATCTCGACCTTCAGGGTTCAGGATTCAGGGTTTAGGGTTTAGGGTTTAGGGTTCAGGGTTTAGGGTTTAGGGTTTAGGGTTTAGGGTTTAGGGTTCAGGGTTTAGGGTTTAAGGTTCAAAGTTTCGGGTTTAGGGTCTAGGACTGCGCTGCTGCAGCTCGCAAATCCGACTAGGCTGCTGGATCCCCAAACCCCAGTGCAAACCAAGAAAGAGGGCCTTCACTGCCCTTTTCGAAAGCAATGGCGCGCGGTTCTGGGATGGGCACTATGAACTCTGTGACGTTTCAACCCCTAGCAGCTAAACCCCGGGGCGTAGGGCTTAAGGTTTAGGATTTAGGGTTTAGGGTTTCGGGATTAGGGTTTGGGGCTATAAGGTTTTGCTTTTAGGGTTTAGGGGGTAAACTCTCTGGCCAGAGCCCCAAAAACCCTCTGCTCATGGGCCTGCTGCCCTCCCCACCAGCGTGACCGTGCGGGGAGCCGCCACAGAGATGACCTGCGACTGCGGTTCAGTTCAGGGTTTAGGGTTCAGGGTGACCCATGCTGGAAGGTTGGTTTGGGGTTTGGGTTTGTGGTTAGGAAACCCTAGCTTCATGTGTCCGATCAAATACTACCCCCTAAAATCTCGACCTCCTCCACTCACCACCTTATACTAAATATTCCCCATCTGGGATAACATCGTGGGAACATCTAAAAAGGGTAGATGTGCTACCCGAAACCCCAAACCCGAGCCCTCAAAGCCCTCAACCCGACTCCCGGATCTTAGACACTCCACCAAGCCCTACGTACCCCAAACCTTACACCCCAAGAACTTTAGGAGTTTGAACCTTGACCCTAAACCCTAAACCCTAAACCCTAATCCCTAAACCCTAAACTCCAAAACGAATGAAGAGACGCCTCGGAGTCGGCGACGTGCGCTTGCGAGGCCGCTTCCCAAACCTCTGCAGCACGTACTTGAACGTCCATAGGGCGTGATAAAAAGGTGGTTTGGGGTTTAGGGTTTAGGGTTTAGGGTTTAGGGTTTAGGGTTTAGGGTTTAGGGTTTAGGGTTTAGGGTTTAGAGAGAAGTACCCCGAATAAGGTTTTTACAGTTCTACGTTATATACACTTACCACCACCTAAGCCAGGAGGATCAGATCCTGTGATTCGAGAAAGAGGGTTAGGGGCTGCAGGTAGTCGGGCTTTTGAGACTGAAGGTTTGGGCCTTCAGGTGTGGGTTGTAGGTTGGGATGTTCCCCCTTATACTCACAGTCCTGACTCGAGATTATGATACCCCCCCCCCCATTATAATCCCTATTTAAGGACTGTTAGTTTTAGGGGGAAACTCCCAAGTTGTATTGTTTAACCCTAAACCCTAAACCCTAAACTCCATGTAACAACTAGGAAGCCTCTGGGAGCTTTGAGGGGAAGGCTTAGGGGCGATCTTAGGGGGTCCTGGGGAAGAGGGCTGTAGGTTTAGGGTTTAGGGTTTAGGGTTTAGGGTTTAGGGTTTAGGGTTTAGGGTTTAGGGTTTAGGGTTTAGGGTTTAGGGTTTAGGGTTTAGGGTTCAGGGTTCAGGGTTCAGGGTTCAAGGTTCGGGTTCAGGGCTCAGGGTTTTTTGTTTAGGGTTTCGGGTTTGAGGTTGGTCTTTTTTTGCAAAATTCTGCTGCTGTTGAGGCCCCCGACGTGCCAGATGAGCTCGGGATGTGCCGGGTGCGCGAGGTCCGCGGAGTCGGGGGCGAATGCCACGCAGACCTGATCACAAGCAAACCAAAAAACACTCTAAACCCTAAACCCTGAACCCTAAACCCGAAACCCTAAACCCTGACCTCTAGACCCCAACCCAAAAAGCCACAAGCCCAAAAGATTGGCAACGAAACCACACCCAAAAGCCCGCGGAAGCCCACGAGAAGCGCGAAACCTGGACAACCGAACCCTAGCAAACCCTAGTCGATATACCCTGGACCCTAAACCCTAAACCCTCAGTGCAACCCTAAACCCTAAACCCTAAACCCTGAACCCTGAAGCCTGAACCCTCAATCCTACCCTCAATCCCCCAACCCCCAACCCCAAACCCCTGAACCCACGCTGGGAAAGCAATGCTGAGCCCTGAACCCTGAGCTGCAGCCCCTTGCCAGCGTAAACCCTAAATCCCCCAACCCTAAACCCTAAACCCTAAACCCTAAACCCTAAACCCTAAACCCTAAACCCTAAACCCTAAACCCTAAACCAACCTCTGAAGCTCCTTTCCACCGTAAAGCCCCAAACTGCAGGACCCGAGCTGGGCTCCGAGCATTGGAGTCGCGCACGCCCTCCCGGTCGATCACCCAGCGCCGCAGCGAAGGCCTAGTCTTTGAGGATTCAGGGTTTAGGGCTGAGGTTTGAGGGTTTAGGGTTTGGGGTTTAGGGTTCGGAGTTTGGGGTTTAAGGTTTGGGCTCTAGGGCTTGGGGTCCAGGGGTAGGAAGCTCCCCGATGGGTTGAGCTAACCCTAAACCCGAAACCCGGAATCCCAAACCCTAAGCCCTCAACCCTAAGCCCTAAGCCCTAAGCCCTAAGCCCTGAGCCCTAGGGTATAGGCGGATTTTTGCGCGGAGGCGCCGCTGGCCGCTGGCCGCGGGCCGCGGGCCGCGGGCCGCGGCCGACCCCGCCTCTGCCACGCACTGCGGCCGCGGGCCGCGGGCCGCGGCGGGCCGCGGGCCGCGGGCCGTGGGGGGGGGGGGGGGGCGGGGCCCGCGGTGGGGGCCGTGGTCCGCGGGCCGTGGGCGCGGGCCGCGGGCATGGGGTGGGGGGGGCGGGCTGCGGGCCGCGGGCCGCGGGCCGCGGGCCGTGGGGGAGGGGGGGCGGGCTGCGGGTCGCGGGCCGTGGGCATCGCTGTGGGGGGTCTTTGCTTCCTGCCTGCCTGCCCGCCTGCCTAGAGCATTTGGGGTGGTCTATTTTCACAACAAAGATTGTTCACTATGCAAAGTATGCTTCAAAGCCTATGAATCTTGTTGAAACTCATCGTCTGAGCATTGGTTGCAAATGCGGGGGGCTGCGCCCCCCCCAACCCTAACCCCCCCTCTTCTGGGCGCAACCCCCGCGCTTCTTTTAAGCCGTGCAGAGCGTGCTTCAAAGCGTAAGCATCTCGCTGAAACCCATCATGTGAATTGTGTTCGCAAATGGGGGGGGCTGCGCCCCCCCCAACCCCCGCCTCTTTTGAGCCTTGCAAGCATGCTTCAAAGCCTAAGCATCTTGCTGAAACCAATCATGTGAGCAGTGGTTGCAAATGGGGGGGGCTGCGTGGTTGCAAATGGGGGGGGCTGCGCCCCCCCCAACCCCCGGCTTCTTTTAAGCCGTGCAAAGCGTGATTCCAAGCCTAAGCATCCTGCTGAAACCCATCATGTGAGCAGTGTGTTTGCAAATGCGGGTGGCTGCACCCAAAGCTTACGAACGTTGTTGAATTGCATCGTGTGAGCATTGAGGTTGCAAATGGGGGGGGGCTGCGCCCCCCCCCCAACCCCCCCGCTTTTTTTAACTGTGCAAAGTATGCTTCAAAGCCTATGAATCTTGTTGAAACTCATCGTCTGAGCATTGGTTGCAAATGGGGGGCGGGCAGGGGTCAACCCCCCAACCCCCCCGCTTCTCTTAAGCCGCGCAAAGCGTGCTTCCAGGCCTAAGCAACCTGCTGAAACCCATCATGTGAGCATTGTGTTTGCAAATGGGGGGGGCTGCGCCCCCCCCCAACCCCCCCGAGGAGGACCCCATCCTGGAGCCCTGGCAACTCTTCGAGGAGGACCCCTTCAAGACGGACGATGCTTCTTTACTCCGAAACCTGAATTGCAGCCTGGAATCACAACTTCATACCGGCAAGACGAGAAGCCCGAGCATAAGAAACTGCCTAGTCCGAGTCGGTGTCGGACTCGGACCCATCCGAGGAAGTGGAGATGCTGGTAGAGCTGGACGACGATGAGGACTGAAAGGGTTGGCGGCTGGAAGGTTTGGAGTCTAGGCTGGGCTTAGGAATCAGGCGCAGGCTGCGCTTGCCCGCGTCAAGTGGAGATCGTTTCACGCTAGAAAATGTGGCTCTGCCATAAGTATATCGGAACCAGACATGACAAGCAGCCCGCCTTTAAGTCCCGACGATGGACCAACTGACGCACCCTGCACAAGACCTCCTGGCGACAGCGACGTGGCATGAGAGCGACGAGGTCGCTCTTCGTCTTCTGCGCGCAGATGCTTTGTCGGCGGGCCGTATTGCGGGCTTCTCCGCCAACGCAGGCAAAGACATAGAGAAACAACCCTCACGTGTCACCTGGAGGGTTTACAGTTTAGAGTTTCGGATGTAGGGTTGAGGGTGAAGCTTTATCGCCTGAACCTCCTAAGCCCTATGCGCCTACAGCCTAGAGTAGAGGAAGCAAAAAGAAAAAGAACCGGGCACCCGGCCGGGCAGGGGGGGCGGGTTGCGGGGAGACCCCACACACAGCGTACGCGACACAAGCAAGAGGCACCAACAACGAACCGGGTCCGGCCAGGAGAGGTGGGTGGGTTGTGGGGAGGCCCCACACCGGGTTGTTTTTCTTGTTGTCGTTTGTTTGTTTCTGTCTAGGCTTCATTATTTCGTTCTTTCTTTCTCGCTTGCTTTGTTTAACTCTTTCTTTCTTTCTTGCGTTATTTCTTTCGTTCTTTACCACGGGGCGGGCCGTGGGGGCCGTGGGGGCCGGGCCGTGGGGCCGGGCCGCGGGGCCTGACCGCGGGGCGCGGGGGTCGGGCCGGTGCGGGCCGCGGGGGCCGGGCCGCGGGGCCGGGCCGCAGGGGTCGCGGGCCGCAGGAGGCGCCGGGCCGCGCGTGAATCCGCCCATTATGGAGCCCTAAACCCTAAGCCCTAAACCCTAAACCCTAAACCCTAAACCCTATGTCATGGATGTTGCGGCTCACAGCCGGGCCCCCGGCCAATAGCGGATGGCCGTGGCGGAGCCCTGCTGGCCTGAGCACGTTGGGTTTAGGGTTTAGGGTTTAGGGTTTAGGGTTTAGGGTTTAGAGTTTAGACTTTAGAGTTCAGAGTTTAGAGTTTAGGGTTTAGGGTTCTAAGGTTCAGGGAATCCTCTAACCACGCTCTACACCCTGTTTGGGGTTTAGGGTTTGCTGTTCCAGCAAACCCCGTGCTCTAAAACCTAAACCCTTCAACTCCCAAACCCTAAACCCTAAACCCCAAACCCCAAACCCTAAACCCCAAACCCAAGGCACATCAGCTTCCTCTGTTAAAGTTCGCACGAAGTGGCGGTAGACAGGTCGGCCGTGAACATGCCCGCGGTGCAGATACCTGGGACGTCCAAGGTATTCTTGAGGGCTTTCAGGGTTTAGGGTTTAGGGTTCAGGGTGTAGGGTTTAGGGTTTAGGGTTTAGGGTTTAGGGTTTGAGATTCTCGGAAGCCACCCAAAATGTCTATAAACCCTACACCCTCAACGCCCAACATCTCCACAACACACCAAAGCTCGCAAAGCCAAAAAGTTCACGGGTAGGGTTTAGAGGGTACGGTTAATCATTATGAAGGGGGCCTTAAAGTAATGTCCATATTGCCCCCTTAATAGTATTTCCTCGCGGCACTCCAAGAAAGATACAAAGCCGCGATATTATAAGTGTATTCTATTCTTTTTCACTCACAATATAAATATTTTTTAGCTTACGATTATTCATCAGCCTCTTTAATTGACTTTACAGGTGGTCCTTGAGAGCAAAGCAATAATCCAAATATGCGGTAATATCAGTAGTAAGAAGTGAGTTTTGGGTTTCGGGTTTAGGGCCTAGGGTTTAGGGTTTAGGGTTTAGGGTTTAGGGTTTAGGGTTTAGGGTTTAGGGTTACCCTCCGACCCCTTGGACTCTTCAAGAAAGGGCACTCCCCACAGATGTCAGCGTTCTCACGCCCACCGGCCCGGCCGAAGATGTGCAGCCTCGGGAATGAGTAGGGAGAGTTGAGGGTTTAGGATTTAGGCTTTAGGTTTAGGGTTTAGGGTGAGTATGCTTTTGGGTTTCGGGCGCAGTGTTTCAGTGCTTCAAGGGTTTGGGGTCTCGAGTTCGGGGGCCCCTGGCCCAAGTGACCTCTGCGGCAGACTGCAAAACCTGAGGAGTTGGAGCGCCCACTTCTTCCATGATCGAGGTTGCGGTCCGACGCCGACGACGCCTCGCACCAAACGTCCTGAAACCCTAGACCTAGCAGGCGTTGCGCTCTTCAACCCTATTCCTTAAATCCCTAAATCCCTACATTCCTATACCCCTAAACCCCTAAATCCCTGAATCCCAAAATTCCTAAACCCTAAACCCTCAACCCTAAACCTTCCAACCCCCGGGCGCGCGGCACGGGGGGAGAGCACAAAGTTGCAGAGTCGACCTCCATCCTGCGGATGTCGGGCGCAGCAAACTTTCTGGCTGGGTTTAGGGTTTAGGGTTTAGGGTTTAGGGTTTAGGGTTTAGGGTTTAGGGTTTAGGGTTTAGGGTTTAGGGTTTAGGGTTTAGGGTTTAGGGTTTAGGGTTTAGGGTTTAGGGTTTAGGGTTTAGGGGTTTAGGGTTTAGGGTTGGGGCAATGAGGCATCCGATACTAATCCCTTAAAGGTGTATATAAAAGGCCCGACTTCCCTCCTTCACTACGAAGCACCCAGGCGCTGTAGGTGGCTTAGGGTTTTAGGGCTTAAGGCAGCTTCAGATGGTTTAGGGCCTGAGTTGGTTTAGGGTTTAGGGTTTAGGGTTTAGGGTTTAGGGTTTAGGGTTTAGGGTTTAGGGTTTAGGGTTTAGGGTTTAGGGTTTAGGGTTTAGGGTTTAGGGTTTAGGGTTTAGGGCTGTGGGTTGAGGGTCTACTTCGGACCCTGAAGAAGGGCCGTGAAAGCCCCAGACGTCTCGAGAGAAATGAGGGTTCCTTGTGAAGATAATAGTACTAAGGTTTAAGGGGGTTGGTGATCAAAAGACAGGACTTCTAGGATTTTTGGGTGAGCATCAACTCCTTTTCATGGGTGCTTGGGCGAGAGAAGAGCGCACAATAAGACTGGACACTGACCATGCTACCCACTTTCTCGCCGGAATAATACCATTCAAAAAAAAATAACATGTGAGCTTTACCCTGAAAGTCCCGACAGAACTCGGGCGCAGGGTCTGGGGTTCCGGGCTAGGGCTTTTCAGAGATTGTGGGCTTTGGGGTTTCGCACTCTGGGTTCAAACAGTCTACGGGGAGCTAGATCGGTTTGGGGGTACCGGGAAAAGCTCCAACATAAACCCCAGACATTCTAATCGGTCTAGGGCTTAGGACTTAAGGCTTAGGGTTTAGGGTTTAAGGGTTTAAGGGTTTAAGGTTTAGGGTTTTCAAACAGCGAAGGGGCAACCCCACCGAGCCTGGACATTTGTCGTCTCTCAACACCGCCCAACTGGTGATCGCAGCATTGAGCCCAATGCCGGTGGTGCACGCACGGTCTAGGTTTTAGCTTTCGGGTTTAGGGTTTAGGGTTTAGGGCTTAGGGTTTAGGGTTTAGGGTTCAGCGTTTAGCGTTTAGGGTTTAGGGTTTAGGGTTTAGGGTTTAGGGTTTAGGGTTTAGAGTTTGTTAGCTTTAGGGCTCAGGGCTTTTGGTGTGGATTGAGAAGATCTTCTGCGCTTGGGTTGAAAACGGGGTCAAGGAGCCTTTTGAACTCTCCCCCCTGGTTGCGACAAGTCATCACACTGGAAGCTTCTAGGAAGGCAAAAGTATCTAAAGGTTTAGGGTTCAGGGCTCAGGGTTTAGATTTAGATTGATGAAACACATGTTCTGGACACAGCTGGCGAGATTAAACTTGCTGAGACGAACATGGTTTTTTGATCATCGCAGCGACTGTGTTCCAACGATACTGCCACCATTGCCCAGGAGGTGATGTTGTTGCCTAGGATGGCTTGAATGTGTCTTTCCCTCACCCTCAACCCCAAACCCTGAAACCTGAACCCTGAAAACCTAATCCCTAAACCCTAAACCCTAAACCCTAAACCCCTGAGAGAGCAGTTCCATTCCGTTTTCCGCCCGCGGCGTGCGGACAAGCGTGCGCCCGACTTTGCCCCCCAAAAGTTCATATAAAGGGTTTAGGGTTTAGGGTTCAGGGTTTAGGGTTTAGGGTTTAGGGTTTCGGGTTTCGGGTTTCGGGTTTAGGGTTTAGGGTTTTGGGTTTTGGGTTTAGGGTTTAGGGTTTAGGGTTTAGGGTTTAGGGTTTAGGGTTTAGGGTTTAGGGTTTAGGGTTTAGGGTTTAGGGTTTAGGGATACTACCCCCGCCGTGGTTCCCCCCATGATTAAGGTTATTTAGGGATAATTAAGCCTAATTCAGGCTATTAAGGGGGGAACCTAGGGGGGTAGTATAGAGGGGGGGTTGAAAAGTTCAAACTGCTCGGGCAGGTCCAAGCAGTGGAAAACAAGATGGGTTTGGGGTTTGGGGAGCTTAGGGAGTTTAGGGTTTAGGGTTTGGGGTTAGGGTTTAGGGTTTGGGGTTTGGGGTTTAGGGTTTGGGGTTTACGGAGCTTGCGGAGTTCAGGGAGTTTGGGGAATGTAGGGAGCTTGGGCAGCTTAGGGAGTTTACGGTTTAGGGTTCAGGGTTTGGGGTTTAGGGAGTTTGGGGAGTTTAGGGAGTTTAGGGAGCTTAGGGAGTTTAAGGGGAGTTTTGGGCTCTTCAAAATGTTAAGGGCTTTGGGTTTCGGAAGTCCACCTTAAAAGCGCTTTTGTGGCCGCAATCCAGCATCGGAGCTTCCGCGTCTTTGCGCCGAGCAAAACACCCTAAGCCCTAAAACCCTTAAAACCCTTAAAACCCCTAAAGCTCTAAAACCCTTAAACCCTTCAACCCTAAACCCTAAATTAAGACCCTCAAACCCTTAAACCCTTTAAACCCTAAACCCTAAATTAGGACCCTTGAGCCCTAAATTCTCAATCTCTCAAGCTCCAGAGGACGTGGACTTTTTCGGTTCTCCGGAGTCCTCCCAACGATTCAAATACCGTTGCTCCAACAGCCACGCATTGTACGGCGCAGACGCGAAGTTTGTCCGGATGGAGAAATACTGCTCCTTGTACAGGATGGGGTCCTGAGGCTACAAGTGGTGCTGAGCCCAACTTCTGACAGAGTCTAACACCTAGAACGAACCCTAAACACTAAACCCTAAACCCTTAACCCTAAACCCTAAACACAACTCAGCTCCTGAAAGTCCTCGCCAGTGCCCAGAATGAGGTCTGCGACGATGTCCGGGCATGGCAACTGGAAGGTTTTGAAACTGAGAAGGCTCCTGGATTTCGGGTTTAGGGTTGTTTAGGGTTTAGGGTTTAGGGTTTAGGGTTTAGGGTTTAGGGTTTAGGGTTTAGGGTTTAGGGTTTAGGGTTTGGGGCTTGGGGCTTGGGGCTTGGGGCTTGGGGCTCCTGAAGGCATCCTCATGGGCATTCACCATGGAAGCTCGAAGCTCTTCCGGAACGTCACCTGGCACAGTGGGGGGGTTTAGGGTTTAGGGTTTAGGGTTTAGGATTCAGGGTTTAGGGTTTAGGGTTTAGGGTTTGGGGTTTGGGGTTTGGGGTTTAGGGTAAGCCCGCCTTGCACAACGGACTTCCACAGTTGGGGTAGATCATCAGGTAGATCCTTGTCAGCTGGCATTGGGGTCAGCCTCTCTGTGGCCCAGCTGAAGTACATCTTCTTGTGCTGATGAAAGTTCACATAGCCGCCGAACGGACCGTCGAGGATGGTGGCGGACGCCGTATCCTAAGGCAGGTTTGGGGGCCCTATAAATTCTAGCCTTTATGAAGATTATGCTAAGGGCTAGGGGGTACCAAAAGGGTCAAAAAAAACTATTTTCAAGTTGACCCCTGTGTCTGCTAAGGCCGGGATCTCAGATGTTTCGATGCCGAACTTCAGCCTCCAGTCCGGTTTCGGGCTGCCGTCCACTCCAAGAGCCTTACTGTGGCTAGTAGGGACTGAGGGAATGGGGTACCCTATATCTATCCCTTAAAGGGTATATATAGGGGGGATATAGGGATTCCCTACTAACTACTCACCAACAGTAAGGAGCCTGGTCAACGGCAGCCTTTCCTTCCGAAAGGCAGTTCACCACGAACTGGGCATGGAGAGTGCCCTTGCTCGTCGCAATCTGATACATGCCTTCCCGCTTTTGGACTTCTGACACCCAGGTGTTCAGGAGCGTATCAATCTGCCGCGAGTGCAGCGCATCCTGCAACAAGTCCTTCAGCAGCGGGCTTCGCAGGGCATGCTCCTCCGTCTCAAAGGCAGCGGCAAAGGCACTGCTGTTCCAGGCAGCAGGCACCGGCACTCTTCGAAAGATCCGCGTCGGGCGTTCGCCCAGATAATGCAGGTGAGGACTCTTGGCCAGGATGTCCTCATACGCGCCCTGCAGATTCTCAAAGTATGCCTCCAGCTCATGGGGTGGCACCGAAGAAGCGCGCGGAACCAAATAAGTGAACTTCGTCGACTTCATCTTGTCCCACGCGATCTGCGAGCCCAGCAGCTTCTCAAGAACATATCCGAAGCTCAGAGCAGATTCCATCCTGCGTCGGCCCGTTTCTAGCGTCTTGTCGTCGCTGTACTCGAAGCCCAGGTGTATCTTGCCCTCATGAAAGGGCTTACGAAGATGAGGGAACCCCTAGTAGAGACCCCCAAATAATGGAACTCCCTGATAATAAGGACCCCAAGAAGGTAACTTCCCGAACTTGGGAGACCTCCATTTAGGGAACTGAGGGTTCAGGGATTGTAGACCCTAAACCCTAAAACCTAAACCCTAAACCCTAAACCCTAAACCCTAAACCCTAAACCCTAAACCCTAAACCCTAAACCTAAACCCTAAACCCTAAACCCTAAACCTCCCGAACTTCGGAAGCCTCATGGTTTTTGCTCCGGGCCATGATCTCCGTGGCATTGTCGATCAGCGTGACGTGAAAGCCGTGGCTCTCGAAGAGGAGCGCCATCGTCAGGCCCTGGAGCCCTGCGCCCAGAATGGCCACGTGCCTGGGGGCTGTTTAGGGTTTAGGGTTTAGGGTTTAGGGTTTAGGGTTTAGGGTTTAGGGTTTAGGGTTTAGGGTTTAGGGCTTAGGGTTAAAGTTGCCACGAGAAATATAGAGCGCACACATCACCTTTTGATGGTGTGTATGTATATAGTATATGTATATCTATACGTATATGTATATGTCCATGTACATGTGCATGTACGTGTAAATGTATACGCATAATCTACTTATTCCTTCATCCCTTCTGCCTTTGTCATGGCTAATTCTAAGTTCCGGTAGCCTAAACCCGAAACCCTAAACCCCAAACCCTGTTCAGCTCCTTAAGAAGCACTCAGATGCCTCTTCCTGATCTTCTGCTCAAGCTTCTGAAACGCGGTCTCTGGCTCTTTCAACGCCTCTCTCGGGCTTTTAAGGGTTTAGGAAATTTTGGGGTTTGGGGGTTCACTTAGGGGTTCAGGGTTTCGGGGTTGAGGGGGTTGAGGGGTTTAGGGGTTTAGGGTTTAAGGGTTTAGGGTGAAGGGTTCAAGGGTTGAAAGGGCTTGAGGTTTAGGGTTCAGGGTTTGAGGGTTTTGGTACGTTGGGTTTTGGGTCCTGGGCTTCGAGCCGCTGAATAAGGTGCAACTCTACATATGTACATATATATATATATACATATTTATGTATATATGTATATATACATGTATGTATATATACATATACATATACATATACATATACATATACATATACATATACATATACATATACATATACATATACATATACATATACATATACATATACATATACATATACATACATACATACATACATACATACATACATACATACATACATACATACATACATATATATGTATACATATATATATATATATTGCTTTCTTTTTTGTTGCTTATTAGCTGCTTATGCTTTTAGATTTATACGTTTTGTTCGGGGAATTGTACATGCTATATACCCAACAGATATACCTTTCGGGGCCTCCTATGTTCTCCCAGCCTCCGCGAACACGCACACGGGCTTGCGGATCCGTTCGTGAAGGATCAGCTGCACGATCTCCTCAGGGAGCCAGGCTAAGAGATCATGTTTAGGGTGTAGGGTTTAGGGTTCAGGGTTTAGGGTTTAGGTTTTAGGGTTTAGGGTTTAGGGTTGAGGGTGCAGGGTTCATGGTACTTATTAACGTATTAACCAATTATATCTCTGTACTGATAGCCCACTTATAAGCCCTGAAGTGATATGGTTATAAGTACAGTCATAAATCTCCTCGGGGAGCCAGGGTCGTGCTTTCAGCGCAAAGGTCTCCAGCAAGTCCAGGGTCGATCGAACGCGGAGATCCTCCTTAGCATCTCTCCACTTGTGGTGTGTCCCATGGGTCGAGCTGGCAACGTACATGGTCTTGTAGTAAGGCACGTCGGCCTGAATCAGCTCTCCAGCGACGGCTTGGTGCATGATGGACGCTGTGTCTGCCATGAAATCCCTGTAGTAATGACCTGCGCTGGCTTTGAAGACCCTCGATAAAACAGATCCCAGGAAAGGGGTTTTAGGGTTTAAGGGTTAAGGGTTAAGAGTTTAGGGTTTAGGGTTGAGGGTTTAGGGTTTAGGGTTGAAAGCATCTCCAAGGGCCAAGCGACTAGGCATGAATACGTTGTCGCCTGCGACGGAGCGCTTGATCAACCCGCGGACACTCACCGCATCGCACGAGTTCTCCATGACTTGCTCGAGTCGATCTTGTCGGGACCCTTGAACTGAATCCGCAAAAATTTGGCCTGGCAAACGCTCGCCATTCTCAGAGAACTCGAGGATGTACGGATAGCAGTTGACAGCCGCAGGATGCTCCGCGAAGCATTGCAGCAGTTTCTCCAAGTAGTTCGGAGGAAGCCAGTCGTCATCTGCGAGCAAGGACACGAACTCGCCTCTGGCCCGGCGCAGTAGGAAATTCACGTTCTGGCTGTAGCCCAGGTGCTGTTCCTGCTCGAAGATGTCAAGAGCAATCGTCCCAGGGGGCTGCAGACTTCGAACCATTCCGGCGGCCTCGCTGTTGGCACCCTCGACGGACACCAAGATCTCCAGGTCCTGGATGGCAGTTTGTGTGCAGGGCTTAGGGTTTAGGGTTTGGGGTTCAGCCCCCTAAATCCAAACCTGTTGCTTGGCTGAGCGCTTCGGGCGGTGAAGGGAGGAGGCACGGGCACATTGTCTAGGTTTCAGGACCCTGAACTTGACGCTCTGAGCACGTCCTTGACGCTCTGATCAAAGATGGACCGCATGGCTCGCACGACCGTGCTCGGATTCTGCACGGGCAGCAAGACCGAGATCTTGGGCAGCGGCGCTTTCCGACACTCCCCATGACCTCCCTGTGTAGCCGTGATGTTTGCAGGGTTCAGGTTGGTGACCTCGGTCTTCTGCACTCTCAGCTGCATGGCGCAGGCATCATCGGCAGACCTGGCTTGCAGCACACTCATCACCAGCACGAGCCGCCACATGATGACCATGGCTGGCCACCAGCCTATGAGCTTTGAATCGGATTGATTCAGGTGGTTAGGGGGGGGGGGGGGTTGGGGTTGAAGGTTGTGGAAGAAAGTTCGGGTGCGCCGGGCGCGCTCCAGGATGAACCTAGCGTTTGCATGTAAGACTTCTGAGAATTCAGGGCCGTCCCTTGCGTGCATACAGAAGCTACAAGCATATGGGCCTAACACGGACTACAACCTACCATTGTTTGTGTTAGACAAGACTTGCAAGCAAACAGGGCTGGAGAACGCCCACAGCTGACTAGATAAACGCGCAGCGCTGCAGCACAAATAGCAGCAGCGAAAACACAAGCGCAAGCATACATGTGCAAGGGCAAGTAGGCCAGTATGCAAGTTTTCAAATGTTAAAGTGCGCAAGTGCACGAGTACAGATCATCAGCTGTACCCTGTGGACGGTTGAACAGCAACGCACCCACAGCGAAATTGCGCTGACCTTCTTTCCTGTTTCGGCGACACGGGTTTTCTACTCACGGGTTTTCTACACTTCTCCTAGCGTCCTACGTCATCTCAAAATCAGGGACTTGCCGCCACCTTGTAGGGGGGCACGTTCCCTGTGGACGAGGCTTTGTTCATCACCAACCGCCCCCCCCCGGAAAGGAAGTGCGACCCGGCCCAGGCTCAGCTGCGCTGTTGATGACTTCAGCGCTGCCCCTTAAAATCGCAACTTGCTGCCGCCAAGGGCCCAGAGGCCCACAGGTTAGGGCCCAGGAAAGTCTGGAAGCCAGCTTGCGGGATGCAAGGCTTTTGGGCAGAAAGTGTTTAGGGCTTAGGGTTTAGGGTTTAGGGTTTAGGGTTTAGGGTTTAGGGTTTAGGGTTTAGGGTTTAGGGTTTAGGGTTTAGGGTTTAGGGTTTAGGGAAAGGACTGCACAGCCTTGCACAGCCCCCTTAAGTTCAGCAACGGTCGAACGGCGAAAGGTGATGCAGGGCTTGAATCAGTAAAAACAGGCCATGCCGACACCTCCTCTCACCTCCGACTCCGGCGTCGTCTTAGTGAGCCCTGGGGGGGTAAAGCGGGACACGTCCCAATAGTGATCCATGCCAAAAAAACATGCGATCCGCATCGGGAAAACAGGAGGGTCCACTCCCGCACTTCTAGAATGTCACACCAGAACTCGGACTGCTGATGCCTGCAGGTGTGAAGAGCAAGCTGCATCTACATAGCGGAGAAAACCGTGTACCGACCTGAGCTGACAGACCCTAAACCCTAAACCCTAAACCCTAAACCCTAAAGACCGATCGAGACACTGCAGGCGTGCAGGTGCAGTCCGAATGCAGGAGGGCCCGTGCCCGAAATGCGAGAAGTATTCACCCGTATCATCTGGGCTCTTGTCTGCGCGGTCTGGAATTCAAGCGGTCTCACTTCCTAATGGTCCGTCTTGGCTCTTATTATCGAAATGGTTCCCAGGGCAAAAGACGCATGAATTTGTTCATGTTCGTACGTGTGCTCACTCTTTTCTCTCGTTCTCACACTATTATCAGAGCAGTCAGTGAATGAATGCATCTGATAAGTGAACGTGTGAACGCATGAAATTCATGAACGAAACGAACATATCGACCTTTTCCTATAGAGAGATCCCTTCACGGGTTGTAGTCCCTTCGCATCCGTATGGCCTCGAACTATGCCTGCAGCAACAGCCCAGGAATTGTTCCAAAACTTACCCTGGTACAGTTCCGGGTACAGAGGGGGCATCTTACACCTGCTACCTCTTGGAGGGCTGCGGTGATGAAATTTTGGAGTGACTAGGGGCCATGGGCCTCAGAGCAGTCAATGTACGACCAAGGCTTTGGTCAAGTCGTACTTGGCAGCCATCCCCCAAAACGCTACTGTGTCGTTTGGCTCCACATGCACGGGGCAGTGGTCGTAGCCAAAACAGAAGCGATCTCGCTCGAGATTGCCTGAAGAGGAGCAGCCACAGGTCTCTGGACAAAACCAGGCCAGAGGCCGAAAAAGAGCTGGATTTCCCCTGCACCACTCGATGTTGAACACATCGACCGGATTAGCCCGCAGAGCCCGGCAGCCTACCACTTTCGCCAAAGCGACCCAGTCGGTGAAAAGTTGCAGACCCGGATTGCGGCCGCTTTGGCCAGTGTAGTCGTAGCGCCCGTAGTAGGAAGCCACCTCCAAGTACCGATCCTGATCCAGAGGGCTTAGGGTTTAGGGTTTAGGGTTTGGGGTTTAGGGTTTAGGGTTTAGGGTTTAGGGTTTAGGGTTTAGGGTTTAGGGTTTAGGGTTTAGGGTTTGAGATGATGGGGGTAGACATGATCTGCTTGGCATATCAGGGTGAAGCATTCGCTACAGATGCAACACTTTCTTAAGCAGGGTCCCAGTCTCCCAGAACTCCACCCAACCGGGCCCCGGTGCTGCGTCCCGGCAGGCAACCGGAGAGGTCGGCGGCATGTAATACTGGGGGTGGCCGGGATTGAGGCTGAAGCCGTAGGCCTCCTGGGTGCAGACGTGGAAGCAGCCCCACCGCTTCACGCGCAGCAGGGGCGATCCCAGTGGATCCGTGCAGCCACATACTCTAGGGCACGCTACACGTAGCAGAGTCCCGGCGGTTTCCACACTGTCACAGAACTCCTGCATGTCCTGACAGGTCGTCACGTTCTGCCGTCCCAACTGGAATGCTGCCATCTGCAGCAAAGACGGCAAAAGTATGGTTTGCTGTTCCTGGTAGCGGTCGTAATCATCTGCCGAATAACAATTGGATGACTCCCTTGCCCAGTCTTCCAGAAGGCCCATTGTCTGCTCGGAGAACGTCGTCAGATCCTTTCAGGCGCGCGCACGGTGAATCAAGACAGCCGGTCTTTTGCTTGTTGGTGCTCTTTGGCTGCGGACCTATTGGAGCAAACGAAGGCCAACCGGAACCATGATTCTGGCAAGTTCTGGTTGCAAAACCTCGTAATCAAACGAATCCCACAAGAACCCCGCATAAAAGTGCAGGGTGGATGGCAAGGGTGTTGCGAAACATCCCAAAACATGCATCACCATCACCCCAAGACACGCTTGACTTCCATAACTTAATCAGCCAATCCTACTAAGCCCATTCAAGACTCAAGACCCTCTTTCTGTAGGCTACCCAATGCCTGCTTAATCAGAAGCTACGGCAGCATGGTTTTGCGTTTAGTAGGTCACTGCGGACACCCCAAGGACCCGTCCTCGTTTAACCACACGAGGCGCGTCCTGGCAGGATCCGACGCGTTCCGGAACGCCAAGTCCATGGCTGCAACCTCGCTGATGGTTCGGTTGGCCTCATCCTCCATTCTTCGAGTAACGAACCTCAGCTTTCTTAACCCTAAACCCTAAACCCTAAACCCTACACCCGAAACCCTAAACCCTAAACCCTTGGTAGCGATCTTTAGCTGCTTTTGAACCCTGAAGGCCTGAAGCTGCAGCTATCTCATAAGAGACGTGAACCGAGCAGTACAGAAGACAAGGTCCGCAACAAAAGCATACATGCAATCTGTATGTATGTGAACATGAATATATATATATATATATATGTATACACACATGCACATACACATGCACATGCACATACACATACACATACACATGCACATGCATATACATATACATATACGTATACATATACATATACATATACATATACATATACACATACACATACACATATGCATATACACATACATACACATAGACATACACACATACAGACACATATACATATACATGTACGGATACATATGCATATACATATGCATATACATATATACATATATATATACATAAACAGATACATAAGCATATACATATACATATACATATACATATACATATACATATACATATACATATACATATACATATACATATACATATACATATACATATACATATACATATACATATACGTTACGTATACATATACATATACACATACATATACATATACATATACATATACATATACATATACACATACACATACACATACATGTACATATACATATATAGATGTGTGTATATAAATATACATAGTATGAACACAAATGAACATGTATGAACCATGGCTTCTGTTTATGCCAAACACCATGTACCACACGTCCTCTTTCATCTGAAGAAGGAATTACACTCACCAAATCCCATGGCATACAACAGGTGCATCATGAAAAGTCATCATATAGTATAACAGAATGATAGCACATAGCATATAGCACCCTACCTTGAATACCAACGAGAACAAAAAGGAACAGAACATCATAGAACACCTATGAACACCTCTGTAGTAAAACCCCAAACCCTAAACCCTACACCCTGAACCCTAAACCCTAAACCCCACACCCTAAAAAACCCTAAAACCCTAAAAACCCTACCTCTGTAGACAAAAAAGCAAGCCTGGAGACCCCAGGGAAACGCCGTCGTTGATGGAGGTGACGAAGTCCAAGTCGCCGAAGCAGAGCTCCCGCTTGGCAAGCAGCATCTGCCCGCGCAAGGCCGTGGGATCTCTCTTTGTAAATAATTAAACATTATGTAGATAATAAGAATATAAGTAGAATTTATATATATATATATGTATGTATGTATGTATATATACTTATATCTTTCGGGATGTTGAACGTTAAAGAAACTCTAAATGGGGTTTTTTTAGACGTTTCAAAAAAAAAATCCTATATTAGGGGTCTTTTTATAACGTTCAGAAACCCGAACTGCTTCTGGTAGAGATGTTTCGTCCAGAAAGAAACAGATGGAGTTGTGAGGGGTGGGCAGTATCAGGTTCCTGCAGTCGCACAGCTACCAGACGTGCCACCGAAGTGACCTGGGAAGGACGCCTTACCTGACCCCATGATGAAGGACTGGGTTGCCGCCGAAGAATTCTAACCTTTATCAGCGATGACAGCCCCTGAAGTCAATGATGATTTGCGTTACGTCCCGTCCCCGTCGCCAGGAGACAGCCTACAGAGAACCGATGCTTGCGACCTGACCCGGCCTGCTGAGACAGGGGCCGCAGGAGGAGCGCATAGGGCAGCAGCAAGGATGCACCCAGGAAGGATGCGAGCACCAGGTTCTCGGCGCGGTGGCAGCGGCGTGCGCGCTTCACCTGCACGGGAGGAAGCTCCTGGATCTGCTGCTGCAGCCGGGTCGGCAGCAGCCCGGAGAAGATGAACTCGTCCACGTGCAACACGGCCTCGAGTGCCACGGAGTTCAACATGAGTTCCGTGATGGACGTCGTGCCGGCCAGCCAGAGGCTGCCTGCCACCAGCAGCGAACTACCGATGGCAGCACGGCCCAAGCACACGAAGCCCATGGCTGCGGCACGGCCAGAAAGAGCTGGCCGTTCCGAAGAGCCCAAGCTTAGGAAGACGCCCTGCAGAACCAACCAGATGCTGCGGAACTCGCGGTAGATGCACAAGTTCCAGAGCAAGATGCAGAGCACCGCCAGCAAAACCCCAGGCTCGAAGGTAGAGCTCTCGAACTGCAGCGTGCTCAGGCCAAGGAAGCCTTACTTGTCCAGTATGTCTGGGTTAAAAGTATCATCCGTTTACTCAAAAAAGGTATATAGGGACGGTTAGATTGCACCCCTAGACCCTGGCGGCGAAAGGTTGCCTACTTTTCCCTAGGAGCCCAGCTACCTGGCTGGTAACTTACTGTATAGTTCGAAGAGAAAAAATATAAATTCAGATTTCATCATGGCTCCTCTCAGGAGCAGGTCTCCAAAGAAAAACATGAAGCATGGTACTCCAGACCCAGACTAAGAATCCGAAACCCTAAGCCCTAAGCCGTAAACCCTAAGCCCTAAGCCCTAAGCCCTAAACCCTAAACCCCAAACCTTAAACCCAGACTAAGAAGCTGTTAATCTCGCCCACCAGGGTGGCCTGGCCCGTGGAGAAAATCAGGGAGTCGTCCTCATGGCAGACCCGAGAGGCCAAACCTTCATTGCTGAGTTTGTTTAATTAGGGTTTAGTGAGGGTTTAGGCTTTACGGTTTAGGGTTTGAGGTCTAGGGATTAAAGAGTTCATAAGCCCCGAAAAAGTGGGATACACTTATCCCAAAAAGCATAACGGTGAGTGCAAACTCTCAGCAAAAGGCATAACTTGTGTACCCATTCAGCTACTAAGAAGCTCCTCTGCGCTAGGTCGACGTTCTTCGCATCGTGCGCAGAGCTCCGCCGCCAGATCCGAGCCCCTTCGACATGCTCCCCGAAGTCGTTGCCTTAGTTGCTGTTTAGGGTTTACGGTATAGGGTTTAGGGTTTAGGGTTTAGGGTTTACGGTTTAGGGTTTAGGGTGTAGGGGTTAGGGGTTAGGGGTTAGGGGTTTAGGGTTTAGGGTTTTGGGTTTTGGGTTTAGGGTTTTGGGTTTTGGGTTTTGGGTTTAGGGTCAATAACCCCCCCAAAAAGTGTACGCTTTCAGTTCTATAGGGAATGAGAGTATCCCAAAGTTTAAAGTGTACTCCCGTTGGCTACTAAGTTGCCTAAGAAGGAAGACGACAAGAGGATGCTGGTGAAGAGGATCTGCATCGTGGCATTCATAAGCAGAAGGAAGATCGAGAAGATGCTGTCGGAGATGTGCGACTGCCACGTCAAGACCAGTGGTACACTCCAGGCGCTCTTCCGATCGAAGCAGACCATTTTGACCTCGCAGGACCTTTCCCTAAACCCTAAACCCTAAACCCGCTAACCCCTAAATCCTAAACCCTAAATCCTAAACCCTAAACCCTAAACCCTAAACCCGAAACCCTAAACCCTTAACCCTAAACCCTAAACCCGCCTGTTGCGCGGCCACCGGCACAGCGTCCACCTTCACAGCCTCCCGCCCGAAGAACTGCATTGTGGCGCTGGTCGAGGCTGTGATGTCAATGGCATCCTCTGCATTCGGATCCTTCTTGACCTTCGTGCTCGGAGGGCAGGCATCATGTTCCTAGTTCATTGTTGGCATAATATTCAACTTTTGAAAACATTGTAAATAGCTACCGAACTATGACAAAGGTTCGGTGTGTGCGCTGTTTTCGGTGGGGTCCGGGAGGTCCACTGACTGCAGCTCGACGACTTCGACGTCGACGACGCCGCTGCTCGAAAGTACCATCGAGTTCAACCGTGCGTCCAACCTCTGGATCTCCCGAGCAAGCTCCTCCCGCAACCTAGACAATGCACCATCCACGTAGTCCTTACTTCCCCAATTAGCCACGAAGATCAAAAGTTTAACTATCACATTACTGCTAAGTTACAAGAACCCAAAAAGAAAAAAATTGGGTCTTGGAGAACTAAGAGTCTGTGTCGGCGAGCACCTTCGACATGTTGCGACTTCTTGATGGCTTCCACGAGTCCGCTCAACTAATGTGCAACTGGAAATGGCTGCACATTAAGATTACAAGCCAAGCAGCCCTAAAACCTAAGCTCTCACGAGACATGTTCTCATGGCGTGAGCAACCTGCGACTGCTTTGGTCATGCGGTATCTTCCCATGCGCGCACTAAATCTGTAAGCCCTGAAGCCCGAATGGAGAAATCGGAGCAGGCGACGAGGAAGAAGAGGAGGAGTGCCGGTTGATCACATCCTTTTGCCGACCGGGGGGCCCGCGGAGCGCCTTGCCGTCATTCCCGCCAGCACCCCCCTTTTCGTGGCTAGGTCCAGGACGAGGGGTCGATCCGCCTTGACCACCTGCTGCCTGTGCCTCCAACGCAGGCACCGTCAGAGCCCCCTCTGTCCCAGCCTTCCTACAACCCTGGTGCTGCGCAACACAGTGGCGGGAACAGAGCACGCTCCCGCACACCATGCCATACGTCTGCCAAGTCCCGGGCAATTCGCCCTGGTAACCGCCGCCCTACATGGGCCCCGTCGTCAGGTGCAGGTTCTGGCGGGTTGACGCCTGCTGGTCGTGCCCCATACTCTACCGGGAGTTGTGCCAGTCTTCCCAAGTCTCGTGCCCAGGTGCCCCCTCCGGCTGCCCCACTCATCATGGCCCCGTCTGTGCCCCTGCCTGCGGGCTTGCATATCCTGGGCCTCCCCAGTCATCCTACTGCGCTGCAGCTTGACGATGTCTTCCAGTGTGTCTCGGCCATTTCGCCTTCTCTGGCAGCATTGGGCCCAAGGTTCCAACTTACTCCTGTGTCTCGGCGCCATCGCAGGTCTCCTGCATTCTTCCTTGCGCACTTGTCCTTTGCCAACCCAGCTACAGTGGACCGCATTCTCACTGAACTCCGTGAGGGAGCAAAGGTTGATGACAAGGGGCGGGTCAGACTGACTACTTCGCTGGGTGTTCTTAAGGTCTCTCAGGCCATGAAGGTGGCTGCTGCTCCTGCAATTGCCGGGGGGGCGGTTTCTTCTGGGCGGAGTGCTGCCCCAGCCAAACCTATCACAGTGTTCTCTTCTCCGGTGCACTCTGGTTCTTGTGGTGGCTGTGCAAGCAAGGCTGTTGCTACCCGTGGGATGATCGGACGTTCCTGTGTCTGTTGCCGGGACATCATCTCCCTTGGAGAGCCCCTCGTGCAGTTGCCGTGCTCTCACGTGTCTCATGAAGACTGTCTGGGTCGTTGGTTGGATGGCCCACTGTCTCGAGGGCGTTGCCCCGAGTGCTCCATGCAGGTGAGGTTCTGACGCGCTTGGCGATTTAGGGGCTGGTAGATTTCCGTCTTGGGCCTAGCGCCTGTCTGTGTAGTTCCAGGATTTTGTCTTGCTGCCTGGTGCACGGGCCGAGGAAAGATGGGCTGTTGCATTGGTTCTTGCTCCAGTCTTGTCCTTTGTTTCCCTCCCGTTCCCCCTTCTCTTTTTTTTTTTTTCTTCCTCTTTTTCTTTGTTTTTTCTTTCTCCTCCTCTTTTTTTTTTTTTTTGGTTTCTCCTCTTTTTATTTTCCTCTTCTCTTTCTCTTTCTCTCTCTCTCTCTCTCTCTCTCTCTTTCTCTCTTTACTCTCTCTTTCTCGTATCTCTCTCTCCTCTATCTCTCTCTCTCTCTCTTTCCTCTCTCTCTCTATCTCTCTCTCTACTACCTCTATATCTTTCTTCTCTCTCTCTCGCGCTCTCTCTGCTCTAATCTCTCTTATCTATTTCTATTTCTTCTCTCTCTCTCTACTCTATCTCTTTCTCTCTCATCCTCTCTCTCCTCTCTCTCTACTCTCTCTATTCTCTCTATCTCTCTCTCTCTCCTCCTCTCCTATCTCTTTCTTTTCTCTCTCCTTCTCTTTCTCTCTCTCTCTTCTCTCTACCTATCTTCTCTACTCTCTCTTCTTTCTTTCTTTCTCGCTCTCTATGCTCTCTATCTCTCTCTCTCTCCCTCTCCTACTATTCTGCTTTCTTTTCTTTTCTACTCTCTCTCCTCCTCTATCTTCTCTCTCTATAACTCTCGCTCTTTTTATACTCTTGCTATATCTGTCTCTACTCTACCTCTCTCCTTTCTTCTCCGCGCCACCCTCTCATACCTTCTTTTTTTTTTTTTTCTTTCTCTCCTCTTTTTCTCTCCTTTCTCCTTTTGCTCTCTTTCTCTCTTTCGTCCCACTCCCTCTTTTTTTTTTTTGGTTTGGTTCGTTTCCTCCCCTTCTCTTTTTGTCGCGTCCGTTGCCCCCGCAGGTGGAGTTGTGCCCGTTTGGTCTGGGCTCGAGCAGTGTTATGGTCCCCGTGCGTGCATGGGTTGGTCCACAGCTGGTCATGGATCTCCTGGAAGACGTGGGGGATTCGGTCTCATCCTGCTCCAGTTCAGACTTGCAGCAGGCAGCCTCGCCTGACCGCTCCCTCCTTTACGTTGGCTCTCTGTCTGCCCTTCCAGACTTTTCTGCCCGCTGCCTGGGGGATGATGTCAGCCACAAAGGTTCGAAAGTCACCCGTCTTGTTTGCGTACAGTGCGGTAGCAGTGGCCGGGACCGCTTCCAGTGGGGCCTCTGGTATGGCCAATGCCTTGCTACTCTTGGGGCAGACATTGGCGTCTTGTCAGAGACTGCCCTTGCTTCGGAGTCACAACATGACCTGGCTTGCCGTGGTATGCGCGCGGCGGGTTTCCACGCCATCAGCCACGGGGCTCAAGGCGCTGCCGGCCCTGCCCCTGGGTCCGGTGTCCTCCTCGCTGTTCGCGCAGGCTATGCAGGTGTGTGGTCCGAAGTTTCTCGAGACAATCTGGGCAGGGCCTTGGCTGCCACTCTGTGTTCCTCGGGAGGCGTTCTTCTGCGAGTCGTAGGCATATATGGCCCTGTCGGTGGTTGTCTCCCCCGCACCAGCCTCAATCCTTGCTTTTTGGCGGCAGAGTCTTCAGTCAAGCAGTTTATTGATGATCAGGTCTCTCACGCCACCTTGCGGCATCAGGCCTTACTTATAGGAGGAGACCTCAACTCCTTCTGCTCCCTGGACCTTGACTGTTGGGGGGGCTCTTATTCCATCTGCTCAGAGTCTATAGCAGCGCATCTTGCTTCCGCAGGCCTTTTGGATGCTTTTCGCGTGAGACACCCCTCTCTCCGGGCCTACACGTTTTTCGCCCACTCTGGCGCGGCCAGTCGTCTTGATGCTGTTTGGCTTCTGCCAAGTCCAGATGCGCAGGTCTCTGTCCTCAATGCCTCCGTGCTCTGGCTGTGGGACCGTCGTGTGGACCATGAACCAGTGGTTGTTGACTTGGATGTGGCCCTGCCGCTCATCCCCTACAAACCGTCCACACCCCCACCCTGGCGACATTTGGTTCGGCGTCTTGATAGAGATCTCCCGTCGCTGTTCCGTGAGTGCTCTGAGCGGTGTGAGTCATTTTTGCAGGGTATTGACGCGGAGTTGGATGGTGTTCTCCAAGAGTGGACCAATCTTGACACTCCTGATTGCGAAGGCCTGGATGGGCTGCTTGGCTGGCCTAATCCTGAGGTCCCCAAAGTGCTATATGATCGCCTCATCTCTGCCCACGATCGCCTGGCCAAGTTTCTTGTCGACAGCCTGCCACCCTCACCCCCGGGTGGCAACCATCAGGAGGGGAGGGTTTCTGCTGCTTGGCACGCGTGCCTTTTAGAGCTGCGCAGAGTCAGGAGGGCTGTTCTAGACGCTCTCCCTTCTTGTCAGGGCCACCTGGACTGCTCCCGTTTTCCCCTCCACCAAGCCCAGACACTTTGGGATAAGGCGTGCTCCATGGAGCGCCACCTGCGCTCAGGTTCTAAGTCCCAGCCGCCCCCTCTGGCAGAGTGGGATCTGTTCTCTACCTCACCAGTTGACTGGGCTGACGGCGTGGGCCTTAGCAGAGAGGTGGCTGGCACAGTACTTCTACAGAAGCCTTCGCGTTCTGACACTGCCTCGCCCTGCACAGAGGTGTCATGGTCGAGTCTGCCGCACCCCCCCGAGGCATCCCTCTGTATTTCGGCCTTGCACTCCTGGGTGAACGAGGCTGCCAAACGCCAAGCGGGGGGAGCCGCTAAGCAATTCTCTTCCGCGCGTGGTCAGCGCATTCAACTGCTGCGATGTGGGGAAGTTAAGGCGTGGGCCAAGCGTATGCGTCCCCCTCTCCCCCCATTGTCTGAGTACACCCCTGCCTGGGTCACCAATGACCAAGGTTGCCGTAGGCGTCCCAGCAGTGCTTCTGATGTTCTGCTAGGTGCTTCTCAGGAATGGAAGCAACTCCTCCAGGAGCCGCCCTTGCAGTGGAATCACCCTGCTGTTTTCAACTTTAGCTCTGCCGCAGTCCCGCGCCGGGGGTCTCTCAACTTCCAGGTTATCTCCAACTCTCACAAGCATGGCACCCTTGGTCGCGTTGGGCGCTCTATGCTGGAACCGGGGCCATGGCGACTCCAAAACCTGTCTGAAGTCAAGGTTAGTGTTTGTAGTGACTCCGTGGTGGCGGTTGGCCCTTGGTTGGTTCGCTTTGTGGATGGTCGGTGGTTAGCATCCCGTCTACCTCCTTGCACTGGCCCCACTTATCGTCTCCTTGCGCTAGGGTGCATCCCTGCCCGCCTTCTTGGTATGGACCACTTCTGTTGGCCAGACAAGGCGTGTCTTGTCCTCCGGCTCAACGCCTGACCTGGGCCCTGTCCTTCCCATCTCGCAGGAGGAAAAGCACACCGTCCTCTCCCGTCTGCGCCACACTAGGCCGGGTCCCAGTGGGTGTGAAGGCCTGCTTCATTGAAGCTTTCCGGCTTTCCCTGGCTGGGTGCAGGACGTTTAAGGCACTCGACGCTCAGCGTCTCACTGGTTTGGTCGCCCTCCCTGCAGCTGGCCACCCAGATCCACCTGCCCAAGCCTGGTGGGGGCTGGCGTCCTCTCTCTATGCTGGAGGATTTACTGAAGGTCATTGAGATGCCTGTTGCTTCTCGTCTGTCCAGGTCGCGCTCGGCATTCTGCACAGAACC